CGTTCGTCCGAAGAATTTCGTGTCATTCGATCCTGCTTTCCTACTTTTTTTTTTTTTCTTTACGACGAGTCCCCCATCCTCTCCTACTTCCTTCTTATGTGCCAGGAAAACGACCCTTTTCTTCTTCCTTTTTCTGTTGGTTTATGTCGCATTGCATTCTTGATCAGCTTTCCATGAAGCATCTAGTATTTTATTTATTTATTTATTTATTTTTTCATTATTATTAGATCGTTTCAAGTCGTCTCTCTTGATTGTATCCTATTTTTATTTGTCTATACTAGAGAATCATATTTAATTTTAGATTGCTATTTAGAGCGCAGCAATGTAGATCAGAAATATACTCGAAATCATCTTTAACAAGAAATGTTTACTAAAATGATATATACAGATGTCGAAAAGAAGATGGACTAATGACGAAGATAAATGTCAGATAATATGTAATTACGAAAACACTGCAGCACTATATAATTACACGATGATAATATTTTAATAATCAAAATATTAATATGTGATATTTATTGAAAAAACAGAATATTAAAATATTTGTTTATTAATAATGAAATAGAATATTACTGTACAAAAAATGATGCTTTTCTTCAGCTCGAGGTATATTGATGTTTTAAATCTAATCGTTCAATTTTGTACTGTAAATAAACAATTATGACACATATTTTGCAAGTTGCATATAGAAGTGCAATTGATTGCAAGGCGCGTTTGACGTTTCATCGTGAATGCCGGCACGAGCTTGTGAATAGAATTGCTGATGAAGTAGATGCTTTCGCGCTCGAGAACTACCGCAATTTACTACCGCTTTAATATTTTGAAATTATCGACTTTTTCTTACCAATGAAAAACATCGTAACATCGCGGTATTATCGAGATATAATGCGCAAGTTGCAACACATTTCCTTTTTTTTTCTTTTTAAGAGCAACTACGAATAAAAAAATTAGAAAAAAATTTTCTTATAAAAGAAAAAAAAACAGTAAACTTTTTATGTTATTATATATACATATAAAAGGTAATAAGAGCTAATTAAGTTCTTTCATTAATATTTATTTGTGGAAAAAGATTTATAACATAAAATAGACAGAAATAAATTCGAACGTTTCGGTTGCCTTTTTCAATCTTCTTCAGCGCATCATTTAAAATTAAAGATTAATAGAAATTAACAATCAATTATTCATAACTGTCAAGCTATTTTTTTAAAAAACGAAATTACAGCATTTTTAAAGCATGAGCATTTTTATATATTCTATTCTTTGAATCGTCATTCTATGTAATTGTCGCGAAAATCTCTCGCTAATTGTTCGGTTAATATTTTATGTTATAAATCTTTTTCCACAAATAAATATTAATGAAAGAACCTAATTAGCTCCTATTGCCTTTTATATGTATATTAATTTTTAAAGAGCTGTTACAAGTTATATTTCATGTTATTGTTTAAATAACATGAAATGTTCACTGTTTTTTTTTTCTTTTTAAGAAAATTATTGTTATAACTTCGAAACAGTTTTTTTAATATTCATGTAATGCTGCACTTTGCCTTGGCGAATGAACGAATCGACTATCTGCCAATTGCTTACGATCTATCATCTGAATTATTCGCGATTGCAATTACGAAGTTGATTATCTACGTGCCACGTTGGAGGAGCCGACGAGACGCCAGCGATCTTGTAATTTGCTCGTTGCAATTTCATCTCCTACACACTCGTGCTGCATTCGTATTCAGTCGCGACACTCGTTACACAATGGACCATCATTCTGTTGTCACCTATTTTAAATCATATTTTAGAGCAATTCAATGACTTTAAAATATACAACCAGAGAGATGATTAGTTTGTAAAACAATTATGGAAAGTTAATTTTACGGTAATTGTAGCATTACGACTATACAAAACATTAGCAAAACCTAAAGCTTTCTCTCATTGAGAAATTAAGAGAAGCTTGGACGATTTTACTAAAATATATTGGAATTTTATAATTATTCTCTTTGACTAAAAAAAAATATTTAAATTAAAAATTAAACGCGAGAAACTGTTTCACGTTATTATATATTAATAACATCTCATTTATTTATTTATATGCACGTATGTAAACGTTAAAAGATAGTAATTTTGAATAAATAAAAATTTGTCGGATAATTAAATTAATTAATTAGTCGCGACACTCCTTACATAATGGACTGTCATTCTGTTGTCACCCATTTTAAATCATATTTTAGAGCAATTCAATAACTTTAAAATATACAACCAGAGAGATGATTAGTTTGTAAAAAACTTATGGAAAGTTAATTTTACGATAATTATAGCATTACATGACTATACAAAGCATTAGCAAAACCTAAAGCTATTGTTATATGTATTTCTCTAGCCAATAGAAAATATTTTCCAGCAGCTTTCTCTCATTAAGAAATTAAGAGAAGCTTTGGACGATTTTACTAAAATATATTAGAATTTTATAATTATTCTCTTTGACTAAAAAAATATTTAAATTAAAAATTAAACGCGAGAAATTGTTTCACATTATTATATATTAATAATATCTCATTAATTAATTAATTTATATTTATTTGCGCGTATATAAACGTTAAAAGATAGTAATTTTGGATAAATAAAAATTTGTCGAATAATGAAATTAATTGTACTGTCACATTTGAGTACTTTACGTTGCAGTGCGTGCATTCGATTATTACACATTTGCATCTTCGACGTACGTTTGTGAATCATATTACGACACTGTCGTAACCTCGATCCGCAGCATTACGTGGCTTACGTCGATCTCACAATGCACACATGCCGCACGTAAACGCGAAGACTTTATACGCGGTATATGGGGCCATTTTACACACGAGGAAACGTCTACATAATAGATCAGTTAACGACGAAGCGCGTTAACCTGGAGTACAAACGATTGACGTATCGCGGTATTGATCCTTTTCTCGGTTTCCCTTGGACGTTGACACATTTACAGACGCGGAGCTTCCACCCTCGAAAATGCTATTAACGCGTTTCGCTGAAACTGCAAACCCTGCTAGCTGCTGATCGATATCTATTCCCTGTACACACGTTGCATTTCTTGAGGGGAAATCCCACTATGCGGTGAAGACCCCTAATTGGCGTCAACGAAAGGTCGAGCACGAAAATATAGTTTGCTTTCGGAAATGGCACGGAATATTTCTCTCGTGAATCATACATGTATACATAATTATTTCTTTTAGAGAATTATATTTTTCTGTATAATTATTTCACCATCAATTTTGAGATTAATAATATTCTCATTTAGAAAGTTATTAAATGCTTGAAATTTTTTTATTAAAAAATGACATTCTTTCGTATGAGTTTAAAATATATTATATCGTTTATGTAAAAATAATAATATAGGCATCACTGTTGAATTTTTAATATTATAATATTCTCTCGAAGGAAACGCTAAATTATCTAGCTGAAAAGGCAGTTGCCACATGCATCCTAGATCAATATTGCAGACGCTTATTGGTGCATACGATGCGCAGCGTGCATTGACTGCGCCGAAGGGCCCTTTGACTCGATCTCGGTAAACGTAATGTAATTCTGAAGTTGCAATGCTTGACTAGGGAGATAAAGTTATCAGGGTTTTTCTCGAGAACATAAATATTTAATAGTATAACACTATCATCATTATTAACAACGCATTAGTAAATTTCTACATCTGCCTGCGAGAACAGACATAATTTGTCTGGCTCCGATATTTAATTCCTTTGATATTTATTATAGAAATTTTTATAAAGACAATCTTTTATTGGGTATTAAAAGAGCAATGCAGTAACACTTTATTATTCTGGTATTAATCAAGTAATCTTGTTATGTGCAAAACCAGTTTAAACTGACGGAATTAGGACACCGCGTGCATACATGATGATAAAATTATGACAGACGCCGGACATCTTCCCAGCTAACTGGATTATAAAGCCTTGTATATATATAACAACTTTCCATTTATAAATTACATTCAAATATAACTTTTGACTCCAGTTATACTCAATTTGACGAAACTTATTAGTAGTATTGTTACAGCTTATTATATACCTTTTACAGAAATATAAATCACATTTTTTAAAATATATACGGAGAGAAGTTTCTCTTAGAATTTATATCCTGAAAATCATGGCAATAAAAAATATTAATATATACATACTAAATTTTAATAAAATTAATCAAACATATTTTATATCTTACTGTAATAGATTATTAATATATTTTTTCTGATAAATATTAATCAGAGAAACTCTAAGGTGAAATTTTAAGAGAAGATTCTCTTTGTATATAATTATGCTTATATAAAAAATTTTTTTAAACAAATCTGTAGAATTTTATATGCAACTATGAAACTTTATCCATCTTCGAGGTGTCTTAAAATGTTAATTGTCAAATATTCGCTCTGCATTTTTATATGCGCAAACTTATAACATTGATTTATAATTATTCTATATATTTATAATTTTTTACAATTTTTTTAGACAATCTTTTGCAAATATGCAGTGTTTGCTGTTATCTATAATAAATAAAATTACATAGATCATCTATTTTGGCGTCATCTCATCTTTATAGATAATAAAAATATGTAAGATATATATATATATCTTAGATGAAAAAAAGTATTATTTTTACTAAATTATCTAGAATAATTCTCAGATAGACGAATCGCCATATAATTTTATCTTTTATCTAGATATATTTAAAACAAGATCATCTTTATCTTATCTAAGATGAATTTACATACATTTTTATCTCATCTTTATCTAGCTAATTTTAAAATCATCTAAGCACAACACTGCAAATATGTGTTGAGCACTCAATAGATTACTAGAAAAAAAAATGCGGCAAAATACAAAGCGCAAAGTCACTTCGGCCGATCTAAGATTAGGCTTTCGCAGGGCGTAGTCAACCGTGAAAAGTAAACGTTATCTGCGTCGACTGTACGGGTTGACAATCTCGTGGGACTCGACGCAACGAGTCTCCTCTACTAGCAGTCGTCGATCGGCGGTCGTAGCGATCGTATCGCAGCTATTTCGCGTCAATTTTTCATATTATTCGGAATAATTGAAATTCAGATTAACCCATCGAAGTGAATGATCGATTAATCGGATCGAAAAATTCCAGCGGCGTATAAAATTTCGCGTATACACGAAATGTATATATATATATATATATATATTTTTTTTATAGTGAAAATGCATACTGAATATAGTCAAGTTTATATATAGGTTCCTACATTTTGTAAAAATGCATCACGCTATCGTCGATGCACTCAGCTCTCGGCAAACAATATCAATCACCTTCGGCAAAATTGATATCTCGTTAATCTACCGAGGATGTTATTACCTAGAAACGATACTTGTTTCATAATGACATGTATAGGATAAGATAAATTAGACTAAAAAAAATATCAAAAACGTTTAATCTCAATTTATTAGATTCATCGCAACTAAATTAATTATCAGTGTCCCCTATAATTTCGTATGAAACTTTTTCGTAGTTCGTAGGAAACTTTTTCAAATTGACTTAGCAAGAAAAAGACGCGTTGATCATCAGGCAAAGTTGATTGATTCTCTCATTTAAATGTCACATGATTTTCTGACAGATCGAACCGGCTCCTCTGACAAGTCACAGATCGAATTTTTCATCGGCCAAAATTCGCGCGCACCAACTGTCTGTGCAGTTTAACGCTATCTTATCGGTATCTCGGGACATCGGGCGGGGAAAGTAATAAAAAAAAAAAAAAAGGAAGAAGAGTTGTGTGTGCCGGGCGACTTGTGGCCCTGAAGTTACGCAACGCAGCCAACCAGGCACAATGAAATCGAAGACTAGCGAGAGTCTCATAGCGAGTGAAAGCAAGGCGGGGATCTTGAGAGACGTTGCCAACGAGCACAAGCAAAAACAGTTGAAAAAAGGTAAGGGAACAGGATGGAACAGACCGCAAAAACCGACGAATCTCGTTTAGTTTCCTTGAGGCAGCTTTATTCCGCGATCGCCGCAATGTGAACGATCCTTTACTCTTTACGTCATTTCGCACCCGTCTGTATAATTATATGTATAGACGATAACGTGGCAAGATTGAGATTAGATGCGATAGATTTCTGATGATATAATCGCTGTAATTTTCGAAAGATTTTATAAATGATATTTAAAATGAATCATCGGCCTTTCGACGTTGACTTTTCCTGCAATATCGTTATCTTTCAATTTGGTGTTCGTTCTCCATCACTTCCTCATCTCATTGTGCATGTTTGCATAATGGTGATAATAATAAATAAATGGTGATATTATTATAGATAAGAAAAATTTACGGGTAAAACCCGCGCGGCGATAATGTCAAATAAAGCATGTATCGAAATATTTGCTCGTCGTATCAATATTCATTAATCGTTAGAATTATCGATTTGCTGAATGCATTAATTTTCATCGAAAAAGAAATTAATTACGTGAAATAATAACTTATAAATATAAATCCTCCCATTTCTCCGCCTCTATTTTTCAATTTACAGAATTGAAATCGTATCGCGTGCTGAAATAAAATACGTGTCGACGAAAAAAGAGGCTCGATATAATTAAAATTTACGCGATAGTGCTAAATCGATTATATTGCGATAATATTTTACGGCGTGCCGATCATCATCCGCGCTTATCAACTCGATTCACAACTGGTTTAAAGTCCCGGCGATGTATCACGGCGACACTTAAATTACACGATGCGAAAGTACCGTGTGTATAATACGCGCGCGAGCCGCGGTATATTTCAGAAAAACGAGATATTTGCATATTATGCGATGCTCATGCCTCACAGCCACGAATATCTGCGTCACGATTTTCGTCGTTCGTGACGAGGCGAATCCGAAGAACGTGACGTGGCGCCGAAAGCATTTTTAACCATTCTGATATATATTGTGCTCCGAGGAGAAAAATATATTCCGCTCGTGTCTTTCAGCACATATAGTTGAAAAGTGCCAAAAACACCTTTTTTTATTTATTTATTAACACTATAGTCTGCTTTCCAAATTATAAACGATTTAAATCTAAATTTAGTACAAGCTTAACAGGGTGTCTATACAGAGAGAATTTTCTCTCAGAATTTACCCTGAAAATCATAATAATCATGGACAATATGGTGTTGGAAGAATTTTAGAAGAGTTTCTCTGATTAATATTTACCACAATAAAAATATTAATATTTACCACAATAAAATATCAAATATAGATTCCATGAATTTTACTATGTATTGTACATATTAAAATTTACTATGTACGTATTAATATTTTTTTTATTGTGATAAATATTAATCAGAGAAATTTTTATAAAATTCTTCCAATACCATATTGTCTATAATTATGATGATTTTCAGGGTAAATTCTAAGAGAAAATTCTCTCCGTGTAGCGGTCAGGGAAATCTGGAAAACCGGACATTGTCAGGGAATTTTATAAATCTGGAATTGTCAGGGAAAAGTCAGGAAATTTTACTATTTATCTGGATTTTTTCACATTATTCTACATTTGTCTCAATAATTTGAAATTTTTTATTAAATGAATCTAAACTTTTCCTCGACTCCCAGCACGCTAATTTTCTGTGTTGTTTAAAAACGATTCATCTATAGTGTTTGTTAATTTATATTTTCATCGTGTTGTTTTATTTCAATGTGTTTGATAGAGATAAAACTAAAAAATTTAATATAATATAAATAAAAAAGGTGATTAGTTAAATAGTTTAGCCAAACCTTTTTATTGTTGACAAAAATATCTCAAGGATTTCATGATTTAATATTTAATTGATTTATCATATAGATATATGCAAATTATATATTTGGAAAAAATAATACTAAAAAGTAAGGCAAAAATTAATTTCTGGTCTTGGAAAATCTGAAAAAGTCAAGGAATTTTTTTCATCAAATTTGTTATTTGTTAATCTTAGATATCGTCCCGATGAGATGTCTAAAATTGTAAAGTGCTTTTCTTTTGTTTATTGAAACAACACTGGACAGCTGAGTTAGCGAACAAATGTTAATAAATATACTTTGGCGCGCGAAGAATTCTTTATTCACTTCACGGGATGTAATTATTGCGATTTCGCTTCGTTCACGCTATTGATGATGAAAGTACGCACACATTGCGAATAAAAAAAAAAAATATATATATATATATATATATATATTTGTAATTCAATTACTCTCTCATTCATCGTGGGATTCTAATTATTCGCCCCATGCATTATTAAACAGTTGCCGGACAATTGTCATACAATGAGCACGTGTCGACAAAAATGCATTTCTTCATGTTACATCATGTTACGATCAGATTCTGTAAGATATTGCAAAGATAATTTTACAGAACGGTATGCACAGCCTTGAACCGCATTGAATGCATTATGCAGCAGTTATAATAAGAAATCTCTATTTTTATATGTATTTTTATATTGTGTGCATATATTACTGATTGAAGTAAATCATCATTGAATTTGTCGGTGCACATATCTTAGAACGACGAAAATAACATCAAGGAAACCTGTTACCATGTGCACAGAGATAAAAATAACCGCAAAAACCACAATTATCGTACAGTTACGTGCTTCATAATCTTTGAACGATATATATTTTTATTAACTCGTTCTCCGCAAACAATGCGTATATTAATAATTTTTAATGCAATATATTTAATGCAATATTTAATGCAATATTTAATGCAATATTTAATGCAATCTTATGCCTTACATCAATTTGTTATCGCAAGACAATTAAAATGTGTGTGCGATAGTTTGACACGTTTTATTAATTAAAACGAATTTAAGCATGGACGATAATTAAACTTGATATTTCCTTCGTCAATAATTTTCCGTTGTAAGGCTAGTTACGAAGAACAGCATTTTTCGCGAGCACTAAAATAAAATAATTTTTTATATTAAGAAATTGTTTTAAACTATTATTTCATTATTATTTGAATTTCTTTTTTTTATATTTTGTTTAGAAATTAAAAAATTTTTAGCAGTCTAGGAAAATTGAAACAGAGTACAAACGTGAAACAAATATTTTTAGAATAATGTATTTCTGTAAATCAAAAAATATTAAAGCAGGATTTATAAATTATTATTTTGCTTAATTAATCATGAAAATTAATGTGTCTAGCAAATTGATAATTGTAACAAATGTGGCATTGTGGCAACAATTAATATATATATATATATATATATATATATATATATATTTTAAATAATTGAACAGAAATAAGCTCTTAAAACATGTTTTAGTTAGGAACAGTAGTTCTGCAGATGTTCCTCTTAAACATGCATTCAGCGAAATTTAAGATACACGTGTTCTTCTGTTATATTATTCTATGTAAGCTTTTATTCCGATCTGTTTGAATTATAATGTAATATAAAGTTACATGTATAGTTATTATAAAAACGCAGATTAAACAGAATTTAGTTGTTTTTTGAGTTATCATATTTGTTTAAAAAAACTCATTAGATTTCTGTACAGTATATATATTTTCTCAATATAATATTTAGCAATACAAATGGATACAACACAATATTAAATAATACAACAGTAATTACATTATTTTTAATCATAATTTTTTTTCTAAGGTAGTTTTAACTCTTCTATTAATTCTTTAGGATTTTAAAATTATTTTATATTTTTAGATGCATGTTAAAAAAAATCATACAATTTATAAAATATTTTTTTTTCTAAAATAGTTTTAACTCTTTTATTAATTTTTAGTATTTTATAATTATCTTATCTTTTAGATACACGTTAAAAAAATCGTACAATTTATAAAAGGAAAACTAGCAATAAGTCACAAATGAGAGTAAAAGTGTTTTCTTGATTGATATCAACATATATAATAGAAACATGTAATAAGAAACTGCTGTGCACAGAATAAACGCTCGATGCATGGCAGAAAAGTGTAAGGCGATTAGGTATAATGAGAGACAGACATTTATTGCACGATCGATTACTATCCGATCTTATAACCCAGAGTGCAACACGAGAAAGATCAGGGCAGTCCAGGGTCGCTGCGTTTGATCCCACTTTGCCACATCCTATTTAGACCACTTATGAATCATATTAACATACCACGTTGCCGTATGACGGTACCTATGTAGAACAGTCACGACAAAATCATATTCTTCAATTAATTTTGCGTGTATTTTGTGTCGCAACCAAAAACAATATAGAATTCGAGATTTATTTTTCCAAGATATTTAATGTTACAATGTTGTGCTTAGATGATTTTAAAATTAGTTAGATAAAGATGAGATAAAAATATGTAAATTCATCTAAGATAAGACGAAGATGATCTTGTTTTAAATAGATCTAGATAAAAGATAAAATTATATGACGATTCATCTAGATAATTTTCTAGATAATTTTTAAGACTGCTTATGTAAACACAGTTAGTTAAAAAAATGTAAATTATAAAAGAGTTATAAAAATATATATATATGCATATTCATATTTTTATTTATACATTTTTATCGCTTGCTTAAATTCTACTATCTAAGTATTTTATGTGTCATGATTCTATATCAAAATTATCTGAAAATTATTCTAGATAATTTAGTAAATATAATTTTTGTTTATCTAATGCAGATATAGATAATACATATTTTTATATAAAGCTAACGTCAAAGTTTCATCTAGATGATCATCTATATAATATAATTTTATTTTAATTTTATTTTTATTTTTATTTTATTTATTTTATTTTTATTAAGCTAAGATGACGTCAAAATTACATATAGATGATCATCTATATAATTTTATTAGATAACAGCAAACACTGGTTACAAATATAAAATGTTATAAATAATTTAACGCATAAACTTTTACGTATAAGAGAATAGATTCTTTATTTAGCTTTAAGCATTAATATTCCACAAATGCAACAATCTGATTTTTTATGCAACTGAATGACGCAGAAAGTTTTTACACAATGATAAAGTAATACAGATATTAATAATTAACAACGTGATTGAAATATCTGCATTGTCATTTAATTTATGCTTTAAAGAGATACATATATTCACACAGCTGCCATAATTTCTTCGATTATTTCATAAAAATTAATTCATTTTAGCTTTTTTGGAGCAATTAAAAAAAGTATGATCAAAATCAAAATGGAGAAATATAAATTTATATTAATCAACATTTTTTTCTCTTATTTGCCACAAAATTCTTTCGTCGAAAGACTCGATTAAACAATGCGATTTAATTTTATTTTTTTGTGCTGCACGTGACATCGACGTGCTGTTATCGTATCGATGACTATAGTTGACACTTCGCGCGTGAATCGCGGGAGCGATAAATTTCGTTATCGTCTCTGTTGGACCTATCGACCAACATTTTTTCTGACCACAGATTTTTTCACCGTGGTTGAAGCGTGCCGTAAATTAAACGAGATGTGACGCTCAGACGAGGGTGTGTCACTTTATGGACGAGTGCCCCCGTTCGATTAAATGCGAGCTCGCATCGTAACGGTGCTCGAGTCGTGACTTTATACTTTATTCGCACTCTTCTTCTCGGCTAGATAGAGAAAGTAACCTCGGCATTATTTGAAACCGGAAGAGTTAACCGTGCGCGTAACAATATGCTTAATTTCAGCCGAAGCATTGAAATTGTTTCGCCATACTTACTTTCTATTTATTATTACAACACTGCTTTTTTCTATACGCAAATATTATCATAGATTTAATGGGCGCGTATTTAAAGTTCAATTTTTCTTTTGCAGCAAACTCGACGTTAATTTTCATTTCGTTTGTACAATGCATATAACTTTGTCATGAATAATCAGATTCTCAGAATTAAAATTTCCATAGATTTTAGAATTCAAAATCCAATTGTTCTGTAAATAAATCGTTCTCACAGCATTTAGATATATCGAAACAAAGCGGATGCGTTTAACAACGACTGCCTACATGTGGAGAGAATTTTTTTTTTTCGCGCTTGTCGACTTTAACTCATATAACGACTCGATGACGTCAGATATACGAGGAGGCTATGATGTCAACGCGTATTTTTAAAAATATACGAGATCCAACCTCCGGCTTTGAAAGTTTATGCATGTTTTCTCTTTTTCAAGTTATTTATAAATATCACCGATATTTGCTTTTGTTTCATTGAGTCCGCGTGAAATTTTTGGTAGCACGGAATTCCTGCGAAGTAAAGTCATTCATTTGAAGCATATTCGTGAGACTTATACACAGGATGTTTGAAACACTTTGTATTTGCCAAATAGCTTAAGAGAGTTTAAATTTTCAGCAAAAGGAAGCATCGAAAGAATTTGGAAAAAAGTGTTATATTTATTCGTATTTCTTAAAATGTCAGTTCTAATTATTTTGCAAATTAAACCTTCACTTGCAATTAGATTTCTATAAAAGCATCTACTCGATATTAATTTAGAAATAATATTTTATATACGAAATTTTTCTCCTGAATTGGAACCTGTTTATTAATATAAATCTTCGGAAATAATTACCCAGAAATAATTAAAACCGTCGAACTCTCTCAACAGATAGAAAGAGCGACTTCGTTAAATGAAATATTCGCAATTAACAGACGGTTAGTTCGTTACGCAGAATATTGCTCCGTATTTACATAATAAAAAGTTCTGTTTCGCACCAACGAGATCGAATCGTAATGCAACGCTGTTTCCCGTGCATCTTTTTTTTCTATGCACACATCATTAACTGAAAACAAGGTGGAACAACCGGATTCGGTGCAACGAGCGCAAATAGAGCAAAATTATTCGTTCTGCTTCTCTAAATATTGATCGTATTGCGTGAGGAAACACTTCCCTGACATTTCATGCACAATACAGCTGTGCTATAGATATATTTATCGTGGATTGCCGTTGAAAACAACCGATAACTCAATAAAAGCGCCACATTCATCGCGTTTTGTCGTATAGGAGCTGACTGACTCATCGATTTAAATGACTAAATGGAATAAAAGCGCTTGTTTTGACGACCTTTTTTGCCGCTTTCTGCTTCTTCGAGAATCTTCCCTACTAAATTACTCCCCTACTTAATTACTCTGGCGATACCGTAATTTCAGATATATAAAGTACAAGATGACGGAAAAAACACACTTAAGTCGCAGTTATCTAACAATAAGAATTCATATTGAAAAAGAATAAGTTATGCTACTCATGTCGAATCGAGATATGCTTTATTGATAACGTAATTATCATGTAATGAAGGAATGCTTAAATATATGCGGATACACGATCATACTATAAGTATAGATTTCTATTCTAAAATGGATGACTAATGAATAATGTATCTATAATATATTACTCGTAACATAACATGTGCACCCATAGGCGTCCGCATGATTTTTTTCCAGGATTTTTTTTCTTATTTTTTGTTCTTTCTTAATTTTTTTTGAATTTTTTTTATTTCTTTAATATTAAATATGCAAATAAATTCGAGTGTTTATTCAAAAAGAGAGAAAATAGTGATAAACAAGTGATACATCAAAATCCTTTTAGCTGATTGTTATACGTACTTATAAAATAGAAAAAAGATGAAAAATCCTTTGCACATAGTATTGCAATATTTAATTATTATTTCAAAAGATATCAGGAAAATCAATTAAAGTTGCTCAATTTTTTATAAAGAAATTCCTATACTAAACAGATATACATATACATAAATAGACATTATCTTATCTTATTTAGAATCTTATATTATTTAACCTCATCATTAAACTTTTATGTTTTAATTTGCGAAATCTGTCTAAAAATATACAAATATCAGTTAGTGGAAATCGAATGTGATTATTTTGGAACTTATCCAGATCGTCCGAATAGGAAGCGCTATTATTATACTCGCGAGACAGTCTAATCTTCTTCCTGAAGGCGGACATTGTAATGCACCCTTCTAGTTGACGACAGCTGCATTATATAACAAGTTAGACGTTACGTGTGCTTTAAACGAGCGCCCGATGATCACGCGAGTACGAGCAAGTGGAAGATGCGAGTCGCCATTGTTGCGTAAACACTCGTAGAAATCTCGAATGATCAGCACGCACGAGCGAACAGGTGTATGATTCATACAGTCGTTTTGTTTTTATTTCTATCTTCCATCTCGCAGACATTCTTGCGGGAAAAAGTTCACGCTGCTAATAATCACTTTATTTAGCAATTTTTAATAGTAGGCTAAAAAATGTGTGATCTACTTAAATTTGTTATTTTTTGGAAATATATTGTATACCAAATTAGTCTTCTTCAAGACTATTAATAATAAAAATAAGATAAAAAAACAGATTGCAAAAATATCCTAAATGTTTAAAATAAAAATTTTCTAAATGCTTGTTCGAAGATATAAATGTTCGATACAAGTTTATAAATTTATTGCGCATGAGGGTGCTCGCGAATTAATTATTCTCTAAATTTATTTCATTTTCGCTAAATTGGATATTGGATTATCGGATATTAGATTGTATGAAAATAAAATGGAAAACCAATAATTCGCAAAGGAGATCCATCTCTCAAATAGCGAACGCTTTGTTGTTTCAGGTAAGACATTTTGCCAATCCTGCAAGAAGAAGTGCACCGGGGAGGTGCTACGTGTGCAAGACAAATACTTTCACATAGGGTGCTTCAAGTGCGCTCAGTGCAATGCCAGTTTAGCACTGGGTGGATTTTTCACGCATGAAGGTTCCTATTATTGCACCAAGGTGAGTTGCGTGTTTTTGTTCGACATATAATCATATCTCAAATATGATCTCTTCATAAGAGTCTTTTGTTGCGGAAAAAAAAATAAGAGAAAAAAATATTTGACATTTGAAATAAAATTTTGATCTGCTATTTCTTGCTTGTAGGATTATCGGGAACGCTGGGGTACACGATGCGCCGGTTGCGGGGAATATGTGGAAGGTGACGTGGTGACAGCCGGCGAGAAGCACGCATTTCATCCGAATTGCTTCCATTGCCAGAGATGCCGGCAACCGCTGCTTGGACAAGGGACCAAAGTATCTCTTGTTCAAGGTACCTGTTTAAAACACAATTGATTCTTAACTCGCTTTAAGGCCGAGTTGATATATTGCAAAATAGTGTATTCAATCTGTATATCGTTATTTAGTGCACATCACCTTTTAATATAACAATATACACGTAGTCATCACCAAAATGAGCACGGCGGAACGACGTGTAGGAAAGTTGCTAATTCAAATAGACGTTTCTATCAATTATAAATAACGATGCGTGCTGAGATTACGCAGCCAGCGTCACTTTAGTGCAGCTTTCACAATTAGCGTGGCAGTCAATCTGTTAGAGTAAATTGCCACTTGGGCATATCGTTGCTCCACTATTACAAGGCCGCGTGTCTGTACTATGTCCTTGTAACTATTATGCAGTCAAAAGTAAAAACCTGGTGTGACGTGCATCAGTTTACGGTGATATGGTACAATGGTCCAACCGTGTCACACATTTCTCAAGAAATTGAGGTCATTATAAATAAATTGCATTGAATCTCGTATTTAAATATCTCGTTAACATCTTATATTATCAGAAAATAAAATAGAAATAAATTCTATTTTTTTTCTCATATTTAATTCACGAAAAGATTCGCTGACAGCATCTCATTTTTTATCAATAGCTTTATGAAAATATATTTGATGTCATTTTTTGGAACCTTATATAATTCTTGATGTTTGATTACTGCCATTAATAAAGCAATAATTAATGTCTTATATATAGCTACTATATAATAGATTTTAACTTGTGTCATCTAGATTGATTGTATCCGAATGAAAGAATTATAGGAATTAATGTGAAATTGAATGATAAGTATCATAATGTAAGAGATGTAAAGGTTGATACGTAGCGCGAAGGCTAATGATGACGCCAGATCCGTTGCCGGATTTCATTAATCTCCGCGAATTGTGTATTCGTAGGTCAAGCTCTGTGTCACCGATGCGTTGTTATCCCAGTTCGCGAGGCCTCTACGCCGCTCGGTAATAACGCCGGTAGTAAAGGTGGCGGACACGCTGACCCTGGTGCCTGTGCTGGTTGCGGAAAGCAATTGAGGGAAGGTCAGGCATTGGTCGCGCTCGATCGCCAATGGCACGTTTGGTGCTTCAAGTGTCATAGCTGCGACACTGTGCTCCATGGAGAATACATGGGAAAGTGAGTCACTTGTGCGATTCACAATTATCTCGTGATTCGATCATCCAGAGTATTAATTGCATTCTTTTAATTATTCTGTTTTTTTTTTAACAATGCAGTCATAGAATTAGATAAGTTTAAAAACAAAAACATTTAAGAAAATAGATTTATCTGATTAACATAATGTTGTGAAAATTTATGTATTTCAACATTAAATGATTCTTTTAAGACTGGGGTCTCGAAACGGATAAAGATATAAAATAAGTAGACTGTAATAATTAATTCTTTTTTTTTTTTCAATAGAGACGGCGTACCCTACTGCGAGAAGGATTATCAGAAGCAATTTGGAGTAAAATGCGCCTACTGCAATCGTTACATCAGCGGCAAGGTTTTACAAGCTGGCGACAACCATCATTTCCATCCGACTTGCGCTCGTTGTACGAAATGCGGCGATCCGTTCGGTGACGGGGAGGAAATGTACCTGCAGGGTGCCGCCATATGGCACCCGCGCTGCGGTCCAGGACCTACCACCGGACCTAATGGTATCGTGAACGGACACGATGCTCACACTCCGCAGCATCGGGAATCGGAGCGAATCTCTAGCAGCGCTTCGGAGATGCAGGTAAGTCCGGTTGCAATGCGCAACCGGTGAGATTCGCCGTTCAGGCATATTTATTCTGTATACATTCGTGTATAATTGATTTAGGCTGTTATAAAAAAGGCTTGTTTATTTTCTAATTTAACTATACAAGAACTGACAAAGCAATATTGTAGCATTTTAATAGATTTAATTGTTTGAATGTTGTATAGATTAATATGATCGTTGAGATTGTTAAATTAACATTTTTTAAAAATATTGCATTGTTTTATTCTCATGTGTGCTATAGCTTGTTATAAATATATAGTAGCTATACATTACTAGGCATTTGTATTTTGTATAATGTTTTTAGCCATTTTTGTGATTTGTACAACATATAACAAGACGAAAGCGAGCTTTCGATTTTGTGAACTAACACAGGATATTATCGGTGCAATCTTATTTGCGCCTTTATTTAATTTTCATTTAATTTAATTGTCATTTAATATGTATATACATGTGACATTATATAGGTTGCTTTTAAGACAGAGAAATCGTATTTTTAAACAATAAATATTTCACGAATAATTAAGAACCATGTTTGAAAAGATATCAATAATCAAATAGTGAATAGGTTGAATAAAGATAATATTAAGTGCTCGTGATAAGCTCTTTGCTATATTCAATAACGTAAATACATTAGATTGAAGCAACACTCGTGTATCTTAAACGATGAATGAAAATAGCATCACGCTTCACGGTCGAAATATCTAACTTTAATCTTCTTCTAATTCTAAGAACGAATTTATATTTTTCAAACATATGTGTTTATAATTTTATAGAATTATTTATTAATATTAAAAATCTATAAAATAAAGTTTTTTTAAAATCCAGAGCATTTAACACTGTGTGATTTAATAGTTGATAAAATGTCTCGTTTTTTATTTTGATATTAGTATCTTGATATTATATATGTATTATATGTTTAAAAATAAAACGTGTCTGTGCATGCTGCTATTTATATTTAGCACTTGCATTACTCGATTTAGCTGCATTGTACTATATTGTATTTTGTTCGCATAATTATTATTGAATTTATTAATTACGATACGATAATAAAATAAGCCAAGTGTTTCGTGCATATTAATATATAAAGATTTCTTTGCAATTTAAAAAAATTATTTATTTTATAAATAATATTGTAAGCTAATATGCTCGCGAAAAATGAAAAATGTTTCTTTACGTTTCATTGCAGAGATTCTTCTGCGAAATGCTTTGGCACACTTTATACATATATCTGTATGTCATTATTAGTATAGTATTCTGTACATAGCAATATATACATATAAAAAAAGAACACTGTAGATCTAAAAAAATTCACTATATTGTCAGCTTTGTGTATAGCTTGATTTTTTGGCTCGAAATCGACTGGCTCATCGTTCTCTCGTTTCATGCATGCCTCAACATAGGAAACAAACGAAATATAGACATCAGAGAGATTATATTATTATTTTTCAATTTTTTAATTAAGTTTTTTTAATATCGCTTTTCTTAATCGTTGTTTACTTTTTCCGCACGGTCATTGTGTATAGTTTTCATTGCGGTCACGCACGCCAAGCCTGAACGGATCGCTGTGCAGCCCTTACAGCAGCCTCAGTCGCAAGGTATGCCATGTGTCACTTAGCACAGCACTCTCTCGACAAGTATTTCTGGTATCACTTCTCGTGCGTTACCTTTTCTTAGCATCGCGTGTTTTCGCTCTGTTAAACGCTCGCGATCCGATTTCAATTCTATCGATCCGTCGAACGAAAGGCGACGTTACACGCGACGTAAAATTTATCCGCAAATTTTATAAAATTGAATTGCATTATCAATCATTTTTTTTTGTTAATTTTAATTATCAGCTGTGTCTGTTTCCCAGATCGTAAATATAATATAAATAAAGAGAGAGAAAATTGTGATGTAATTTTTTAATAACAGAGCGTTACTCGCTATGCAAGATATTTTTCTTTTATATGCAAGGTGCGTCAAAAATATAAATAAAATAATGTAAATTATTTTGGAAAGAAAAAAGTAAAAGAAAGGCTTTAAAATGCAAAATAAAGGGAGATTTTATTTTTCGTTTATTCGGTTTCTTGCGCATCTTGTATAATGATATAACGTTTAAATAAAAATGAAAAAAGCAAACTATCCCACATGATATAAATTCATTAATTGCCTCAGTATTATCCCGCGCGAACTGGAAGTCCCGGTCTGATCTTGAGGGAATACGGACGAGGGGTAGAAGATGTATCTAGGATTTATACTTACTCGTATTTGACTGAAACGCCCAGTCAAGGATATCTGAGACGCCCGATACAGCCGTACGATAAACCCCCAACTAGCCCGCATTTCCATAGACCTAGCTGTAAGTTTTTATTCTATTCATATTTTTGTTAGAATTTGTAAAGTCGCTTCTTTAACACTATGAAGATGAGCAATAGAAACTATAACCCACTGAGAGTTTTCATATTAAATTTATTATTTATTTTTTTTATAAATACTGTGAAAAAAATTATTTATTTTTTAAATAAATTTGAAAGAACGTTTTTTTATTTTATTATTATATTTAAAGATTTATAAAGTGTTTATATTATCTCGACTCTAGCAATTCATTTATATTTTCTGGAATTAATTTATTTCTGCTTTTGTAGCATCCCGTTCGATAAGAAGTAGCGGTGGACGCAGCAGCAGATCGGGAATGCGAGCCTTGGTCGACGCATTGAGCGACACCAGACCCAAGTCGCCAGCAAGTCAGGTGGATAACGAAGAACCGATAGAATTAGCTCATTATCCAGACGCCATGAAGCCACCTCCAGGTGCTCAACCACCAATCGAAAGAGATGATTTCCCTGCTCCGCCGTATCCTTACACTGATCCTGAAAGACGTAGACGATGGTCCGATACATATAAGGTATTGTTTTATTGTTCGATCCTTCTTCTCATTTGTTCTTTCAATGATATTTGTATTAATGATTAATGTTTATTTCTAATTCAGGGAGTACCTGCATCTGATGACGAGGATGACGTGGACAACAAAACAACAACGTATATTAAAGAGGCGGAGCAAAAATTGAAAAAGGAGCAGGACGAGCTGAGTAAGATCGATACGGGAATAGCTAAAGTATTCCTGCAAGATCGCGAAAAGGATCGAGAAAATTTGAGACATAGAGCTGCGAACGTTGATCCTAGAAATGCCTCGAGGACACCATCTGCCGCCAGGGAACCATCATACCGTTTGCGTTACGAGAGTCCTGTGGGTGCATGTAAGTTTGATTAATTTTATATTTATTTTAATGTAAAGATTTTTCAACGATTTAGCTCGTTGAATTAAAATTGGATATGTAATTTTATTAGATCTAAAGTGATGCAAACGGTATATTGTGTTTAATACAAATATTTATGTAGAAACTAATTTCAATATTTTGTTGTAGCCCCCTCGCGAAATATAGACCATGCACGGCCTTGGGAGGACGATGATGGTTTCAGTTATAGATCCAGCGGTCCTAGCTACAACGGTGAGTTTCCGTCACTTGTAACGCGCCACTCGTAATTGTTTTATTAACATAAGTAACGATCATCTCATACATGTCCACACGTTCGCACATGACACTAACATATCACTCTACCGTTTGAAGTAACATCGATTAGAAAACTGTGAGTCTCGATAGAGCGGGGTTTCCCAGGGCGGGAGGTCGTAAATGGTCCAGTTTTTTACCACTGAAAGAAACCACGTGGAGCACGAATTGGCGAATGCAAACCATCACGTGTGGGAGGGTTTTTTCACGCTAATTAACAAATGATGATAACTGTACGTAATGAGCAGGACTTTGTTTTAAGTGGGATATAGCACCAAATACTACTCATTGGACGCCCAATTAATCTAACAGGTGATGTATATTGCCTATGCATGTTGCATCGTTTCCTTAATTCGGTGTGCTTGTCTTATTATCTTTCCGTTCGTCGAGCTGTGTCAGGCAGCGCGTCAACCAGATCCTCAAAATAATGGACAGTCAAAAATTACCATTGCAATCTTTAGCCCTGGAAATTATTTCCCGAGGTAATTGATTCTGTCCTATATTTTGCATGGCACCTTGGGACCACGAAGTTCATCATACACGAATACACATTGCCCTCATTGCACACCACTGTCATTTTTGTGGCACAGCCTATAGATAAAACTCAAACTAGATTTTGATGAAATGTTAACTATTGATTTTCTTTTTTTGTACATTTCAATAGGAGTTTGAATAATTTTCGCAATAACTATTTCACTTGAGTTTAACCAAAGTTAACATTCGATATAAGGATTGATAATGAAATGAAACAAATATATTATCGAAATAATTTCTAATTTCTTCTAGCTTCATTTATAGTTGCATTATTTCTTTGCGATAGAACTGGATTTTATCATCTCTATTTTCTTCTTATTATCTTATTTTATGAATAATTAAATAGTATAGCTAAAAAATTTATCTTTCGATCAATCTTTTAGTTCTAAAAATTGATAAAAAAAAATTGAATTGCTAAATATTAAAGAATTTGAATATTAATGCTTTTTTTAGAGACGATTAATTTTTAGATATTTTCCAGTTACACAAATATCACCTACAATATTGGGAGATAATTAGGCAGAATAATTGTTTTATTTTATTGCTACCAGCGCATGATGGTTATTTCTTTTCTGCATATCTTTGCTTTTTCACAAATACATAGAATTTTGCTTTATAATATCTTCCAATATTGGATCATCAGCTAATTTTGGAACGCTAATATGAAATATTTATCATAATTAATTCAATTTTATATATTAAAAGAAGCAATCAAGATCATGAATTATGATATGATTTATAATAAGTATTGCTTAATTATCTCAAAATTTTTAATAATTGTGTTATTGATAGTGTTTGCAATGCACCAGAAATTTCTTACTTAACTCTTTCTTCACTTACAACAAAAATATCTATATTAATGTAACAAAGTCGCTAATCTCAAGTTAGCGTTCTAGATTTAATGAAATACGACAATCTATGTTAGTCACGACGCTACTATCTGTCTACTATCATTGTGTCTCTATTTTGTGTTTTTGTGTTTGTGTTGTGTTTGCGTGGGCGGCAGTTGGGAGGTCATCGGCGCGTTCCCCGGCTCCCAGAAACTATCCACCCCTTGGTACTCAGCGCGCCTTCACTCTTCCAAACGCCGCTAGGCACTATCACTCGGTGAGTCCGAAAACTTTCCAATTCGCCCGCCGTTGGTCTCAAGTCAAATCACAAATCTACTTTATTTCATTCATTTTTTGAAATTTATCGGTGTTGAGTTTCTTTTCAATTTTTCTACATTTATTTTTTAATCATTTTAATGTATTATATTACCTGATTATTTGTGATTTTGTGTAATTAAGAATTGTAAATTGCACGTGTAATATAGGCATGTAAATTTGACGATGAAAAATAGATTTATAAATTATTGCTGATATATAACAATTATCTTAAATCGATTTCTGGTAACTTTTGAAAGTAGTTTCATAATTTTATATTGTAGGACTATAAAATATATATATGTATATATAGAGCGTAATACATAAATATATCATCATTTTTTTTTTTAAAGAGTCATTTTTATTTGTTTTTGCATTTTTGGTAAAAAAGGAAAATTTTTGACTTGTCATCATACGGCGGGCGCGCTTACGAGAAGAGTCTATTGTACTTACACAAAAGTGCTAGCTTGTCTATCTTTTTTTTTCTTTTTTTTTTTTAAGTCGCACACTTTTTTACGAGAGTCACTGCTTTATTATGCACTCGAAACTGTCGGTTTTCTTTAAGCGCCGTTTGCCGATGGGGATGCGATAATATTATCGAGATGGTTACTTCACAGGTATCCTTGCTCTTACATGCAATGAAATCTAAGATTCCTTAGATACAGGATGTATTTAACAATACTTGTTTGCACCCTTTATTTCAATCATTGTTATGAAAGATCACTTTTATTTTAATCACCAATTGCGTGAGATATTTTATATTTTATAATTATACGAGCAATTGTGAATGAAGAATTAATAATTCATAATATATTGCATGTAAATGTCAATGGATAGCTTTTACAAATCAATCCGGATTAGCAAAGAAACATTGGAAAATATGGGAAATGCCAAATGTATCATTATTGGGGCGCAAAGAGATAAAGGGAAATCCCTTCCAAAAAAAAAAAAAAAAAAAAAACAGTGGTTGACTGACAAAAGGGAGCGGCATGGCTCCGGATAGAGTTTAACGGTGTCAAAAAAAAAAAAACTAAAATAAAATAAAATAAAAATCTGGCAAGCGAACGTTGGGCATTCGTATGGGATGGAGCGAATTGAAATCTAATCAGTAATATCTATGTCGATTGACTGATTTGCAAACCAGTTGTGAGCTCCCTTCGGCACATCCCGAAGCCGGGGTACGGTCTGGCACCGCGAAGTCACACCTTCTCCTCGACCGGCGGTTCCGTGTCTGCTCTCCCTGTAAGTCTCGCACCGCAAGTCACAGTCGACGATGCGACAGTGCACCGCCGCGCTGATAGTGCAAATTATTATTATGTAAAGATAAAAAAAAAAAAAAAATAAAAACATATACATAGAGAATCGATATCCGCGGCGGCCAAGCGCATCACGCCTCTCTAAGATAACGCTTTTCTGTCGTCTAGGGCGACTATTCGTTCAGCGGGATGGGCGACAAGACTCACAGCACTGATTTCTCGTCTGGCAAGTCGGACAGTGAGTAAAACCAAAGGGAACCGAGCGCCGGGTTCCCGCTGCACACACGCGATCCTTTCACTTGGTTACACTAAGCTTTTCTTGAAACTTGACGCGCTTGCGAATTTTACGTGCATTTTGACAGATGCAGTGCCTGTACAGTGCTATCGCGAATCGAGAGAACATTTTTGACGTTCCTCTCTAATTCATTTTTTTTTTTATGTTAATTTGAATATCTTTGAGAGTTTTGCGATCTTGATTAGGAGACCATCTCGTCATAACAACCTCGTTTTTATTAATAAAAAAATGTGTATTTGCTGTGTCTTTATTTTCAGAATTGAACATTTTGATTTTATACTAAATTTTTTTAATTTAATTTAAATTTAAATTTATCAAACATCCAACTATTTTTTATCTTTTCGACAATTTTATAATGCTGCTACGATTTTTGAGAGATTCTCGTATTTATTTAAGCGAATTATCAAAGTTTGTGATAGAACTGCTGGTGATTTTTGCGAGCGCGTCGCTGCTATGATTTTCTGTACCTATTTCGTTTCACCGTGTTCCTGCATGCTTTACTAATATTTCTGCGAGCATATCTATCGCACTGCTCCTGTGAAACGTTTATACGTCGTACATTGCTTGATGTACGTCGTCCCATATACGCGACTTATCTACTGTCATCTGTGAGAAAATGCTCATTTCTTTGATTATTCATTACAAGACTATTATTTACGGTCTCTTATATTATTTACGATCTTTTACATGACTTCTTTCTCATACAAGCAAATAATCATGCTAAATTTATGAAACAATAAGCTATATTATATTTTTCAACTTGGAAAACATTATACATATAACGCGCGATCTTATTGAAACTGCATACATTCTTAAAGGAATTCATCTGTAAAATCTAGGAATTTATAGTAGATTTATTTATCATCGAATTATTACGAAACAATCATGTTCCCACACATTACTTTGTCTACTTTTAATTAAATGAAAAATCATTTGTGTTATTCTGTGCATTTTTTTTCAGATATAAATTTAGAAATTTGACAGGCAGGTAATGAAAGAGGGGAACATTATTGTGTGATTAAAAACAGATTGTACTTAACATAGGAAATGGTTTGTGCAACGGGTTTGATATGGTTTTCTTTCACATTTTCCCCAATTTTAGTATCAACAGGCAGCATTACGGATGTGGATCGACGGGCATTGGTATGTACCACAGCCCCATACTACTCCCGGCGAATTAGCATGGTTTGTAGTTTGTTCTCGCACTTGTATGACGACAGAATTCCGTTTATTAGAACAATTTAAGCATATTGCAATTTAATTACGTCTCTTTCCACATTAATCTCAAAATTCTTTTGACGCCATGCAATTACAAGTTTATTTATAAACGTTAAATTGAGAAAGTTATTTTTTTTACATCATTAATTCTTTATTATTAAATGAGTTTTTAATGAGTGCGAGGTCGGTGCATTTCTTTTCTGAAAAATAAACAATTTCTCGCTGGAACTTTAATGGTGAAAAATTATTTTTTTAATTGATATTTAATTTGATTATTCTAATAAATGGAGTTGAACAGAAATGTAATTTTACTTAAAGCATTTTAAGCACGTTTCTATATAATTACAGATGTGTTGCATTAAATATCAAATGCACACATTTATCTGAGAAACAAGGCAATATACAGTTCGTACGTTCCGATAAATTTTCCCGATGAATAAAATATGCCCATTATATATGTATGTGTGATTATTTATATAATTTGCTACTTGTTTATATTACAATGTAATATATTGTACATTAATTCTATGTATAATGAATATGTATGCATGCTGTATATTTTGCTGTGATTTTTAGTTTCGCATTTTTGATTATTTGTATTTATTCTCAATTTGCTCAATGTTGCATATTTGATTTATTATAAGCCTCTTCCATCTTTTAATTAAGTTAAGTTAATCAATTTAATTAATTTGATCTATTTCACGCTATTTAGCCTTATTGGACAAAATATGTTTTTTCCTTTTTTGAATTTTAATATTACGTAATGTATTTTGCATCGGGAAATATGTATATATTTTTTATTTTGAGAACCAATAATATATAATTATTGTTTGTCTCAAAATATAAAAAATATATACATGTTTCCGGATATAAAATACATATATTTATATTGAAAGTCTTATTTATACAATTTTATATAATCCGTTTAGTAAAATTTTAATAACATCAAAAATTAAATAAATTATATTTTTATCATCATTTGATGATAAAAATTATTGATATGCGAAATGATAACTTTTTATAAAAATGGATTATACAAAAATGGATATTTAATATTACATAAATGTCGTCTCTCGATAGTATCTGTTCAATAAATTATTCGCACGTTAAAATATATTCGTACACAAAATAAATTGCAAAAAATGCATGTATGATATATACATTATTAGCATCCGAAAAATTATAGTCACATGAATAGTCATAAACAGTAAATAGTAGCATAAATTTTCGAAAAAGAGATGAAAATGCTCGCATGGAATATTGCTTTGATTCACTTTGATTTGAGTAAATAAATTTATTGTTTAAGAAATTAAAATGTTTGAAGCCTTAATTGCGCGCGATATAATATTTTCATTAACCAAAAAATTAATAATTACTATTTTCTATTTTATATTGAGACGGCTTATTGAATTATCGTATGAATTTGATCACATTCATTCGTGCATATAAAACAATAAATCCATTAATTATATTAATTGATCATGCAATGAATAGTTTTTTTAGTGTGAAAATAATATATTTACTGTTCATGGGTGTTGACAAGAATATTTTAGGAGATGCCCCGACATAATATTTTTTTAAATTTTTAATTTACACATTGAAAAATTATCTTTTTTTATTTTATTTAAAAAAAATCTGTTATAAAATTTATATTCGATATAAAAATGTATCCATCTAAGTCTTGCATTTAACATATTTTATTGTGTGGTGCAACTCCTATATATCATTCTTCATGCATCATCCATGTCTTATTTGTATCTTTGCTACATGCTTATTTTGATCAGTAAAATTCATAAATTTGTAATCGTGGTTTAGAATGATGGTGGGATCATTCCATCATCCACCACGTATACAGGTGGCCTAGGTTCGGTTGTTGGAGGTCACGGAGGTCATCATGTAAGAAGATCGCTGCCGGACATGGGTGCTGCACCGACCGAACCACCCAAGTTGTATCCCTATCACTTACTCGTTATTACCAACTACAGGCTGCCAGCTGACGTGGATCGTTGCAATCTCGAAGTAGGTGACAGCTGTCATCGTTGTAAACCGTTGTCTAATCAGTTATTATAAAAAATTGGCATATAACAGTATATTATTCTTCGTCATTATATTTATCGAAATTAATGAGATATTAATTACAATAATAACAGAAATAATTCAAAACTTTTTTTTTTCTTTTAGCGACATCTCTCCGATGCAGAGTTCGAGGTCATCCTCCAGTGTTCTCGCGCGGAATTCTACAGAATGCCACAGTGGCGTCGCAATGAAATCAAAAGACGTGTTCGGCTGTTTTAATTCATTTTACACATTTTACTTATTATATCCGCATTGTGTCACGATTGTGTTGTACTGTGGTACAGACTGTACATTCCTACTGCGTAGGTAGATGCATCGCGAAGAAAAAAAAAAACAGAAAATGTGTTCGATGACTATTGCAAGCAATCTGCCGGCTGGCGTATGCTTGCAAAATAGAAGTTCTCTTTAGACAGGAGCACATCTCAATACATACACATACACACACGCACACATGTAATGACACAGAATCACTGCCACTTATTGTCAACTTTTTCTCGCGGCAACGAATCCAAGCAGCTTATCTACCGACGACCCGATTTATTTAGCGACATAGACATTCTCGAATTTTATCATTTGGAATTCAATTGTGACTTAGTTTCACTCATACATATGTTGACGCGAGTACGTAATGATACGGCTGATATTAAAATATAGATGAGAAGATAATCAAATAGGGAAGATTGCGATTATAACTCTTAATACAATTTGCTATTGTAAATAAGAAGTTAATCGAGAAATCGAAAAGCGGTATGAAAAAGCAGCTAGAGAAGTTTCATAGTAATTGCATATTCGCTCTAAATCGCATACATATATATTAACCTTGTGCAGATTATGACGCAAGGGATGCTGCAATATGGTAGAATTTATTATTATTAATTTTTAACTATACTATTATAATATTATTATTATTATTATATTATTATTATTTACTACGTGCAACATGAAGAGTTAAAAGTTATAAGTAGAGGTGAGCCCAGCTTGCTTAAAAGTACGAGTACGCTGATTAATCAAATAATTTGTGTGTGAATTTATCACATTTTTAATTTTGCTCTGTGGAAATAATTACTTTATAGAGTCGCTTGCGGTATTTTTTTGTGTAAGAAGATATATCAATGTTTTTAATTATCCTTGGATGTAATAACTAAAGTAAATACTCTGCGGTGCAGATTGCGATAGACTTTTACGATTACTCGATCACTCTACATTAGAGTGTAAATATGAAAATCAGGACCAAATTTATAGTCGTGGTGGATCAACAGTCGAATCATCAAAAGGTTTATCATTATAACTCAAAATATACGTTTTATTACATTTTACCAATATATAGCAACATTCCTATTGCTATCACATTTAAATCTGTAGAATTCTTAGCATTTATAGCATTTTTCAATCTTTCACAATCTTTTAAAAATAGCATAAATTAAATTTTAAAATATTACATCGATTAATATATCCGAAACGTTAAAACTGAGCGATTTCTGATGTAATTTTTAACAATTATAAAGCATTTATATTATATAAAATGTTGATGTATGACATCAAAAAGCATATTCACAAAAATTTTAAAAAAAAGAAAGGCATTTCGTGCAAGTCACTCTTATCTCGAGTTTTATTCTATTTCAAAACTTGTTTTATGCTACTTTCGAAATATAAATTGAACAATGTTCAGATGTTATCGATATTTACTACCGACTAAAATAATTTTATAAATACACGGCAATTATATCCTCCACCCTTAAATTAGGTCCTGCGCAGAATTTAAAAAATTTCGAAGAAATAGGTGCAGCAAGCTAAATATACCGAACGTACGCGCGTTCATTAAATAGAGCGGATTTATTCAAAGCGAATAAAGTTGAATTTTCATATAGTTGAAAAAAAACATACGACGTATCGCCTGTTACGCCAACCGTGTATGATTATCATACATGCGTTTATTACACGTATTTCGGATACGCATGCGTCCGATAAGATTGATACATTCGTTTAAACGAAGTCACCAAACTATTGTATTGTCGACGCGCATGCGATATTTTATCGAATTAACTGCGTTTTACTATACATACACACATTTCGCCTCCTTACCCTTAAATCATGTGCCTACTAAGCGAATGTCATGGGACATTTCACGCGAGAGAGGAATCGTTAGTCTTACAGAGCGTCCTAAGCACGCTGTACATTTGTGTAACACTTACAATTCCTACCAAGGCAACACGATCCCGATTAGCTGTCCGGCAATACGTTCCGATTTTTCACTTGGTGATGATCTTTTAAACGTCTCTCTTAAACTATTGTGTTGCTTGGGTAACCGCTTTATCACAAAGAAAAGCTAACGTGCTCCATGATCGCAATTAATTATTTCGTTATCTTTGTTATTTAAAATTTACATTTTTTTATGAATATATTTTTATTCGCGTAATTGGCTCTTAATTTTATTACAGTTTATTGCAATTTGAACGATTTTCCCGGCCGGTTTTGTTAATTTTTTTTGTCATGTGTCCGGTCTTTTTGATCATGGTGCAACGTTATTGTTCCCACTGTGTAACGCGAACCAATGTATGTTTCTGTTGTATAGAGCACATTGCTTCCGCTAGTCCCTAAAGTTAAATAAATGCAAACGTATGAAAAATCTAAGCATTTGTCAGCCATTGTTACCACTTCGTTGATCATTAATCAGCAAATATCGCGCAACAGTCTACATGCACAATATTTTCTTTCCCTAATTTATTTTACATAGATCTGTCTGTTAAAGAAAAAATTTTTTAATGTGTGACTTTGTTCTCCTAAAGAAGATGCGGTCAAATCGAAAGACAATCCAAGTAGTCACCGCAGAATGTTAAATGAAAATCCTTTTAATCTACTATAGCCTGCTATAAAATATTTACACCGCGCATTTAAATCGCGCACGGGTAGAAACAACACATTATACTTTCTCGCGAAGGATCACGAAACCTTCCAGCACACTGGAAAGCGATGTGTACTGATCCGACACTAATTCTGCTTTTTCACCTGCACACAGTAACACCGGTGTAGTTTGTACGTGACCACCGACAATGGATTTTGGATTACCCGCTTTTCCCACAACATCCACACTTTGACCGACTCTCACCGATACCGGCAAACTCTGCAAAATATCGATTTAATAGAAAAGCGCAAAACTTTAAAATGTGAATCCTTTACTTTTTAGAATATTTATTTATTTTTTTATATATCAGTTGATTGACTAATATTAGCAAATTCTTGTATTTTTATATACCTTAAGATTTTCGTCGACGGTAACTAGCCATCTTGGCTCCATCGCAACCGCTAAACAATACAGCAAATAATGCGACTGCGATAGTATAAGATTTTTGCAATCTAGACATGCAACGAGAACAACCATCAGCCCAGCTAAGGCGGTGTAATCTACGACTTTCGAGGCGTATCGCAAGGGCGACAAGGATAAAGTACCCTGGATGAAAAAAATAACACATAAAGGTTACGAGAACATTTCTCTTAAGGAAATAAGAAAGTTAAATTAAATATTAAAATTTATCAGAGAAAGCAATTGTTGCGACTTGGTTCATCCATGTGTTGTCATCATTCATTAATTTAAAGTTTACTTAATTGTTTGAGTTCTATTGATTTTATCAAGGTGTTTACCTTGCCCAAGTGCACCAGACCCTGAGAGATGCGTACGAGGAACAGGTGAGACGGATTTTTCGCGTGATAAGCCGCCAATTGTCTCAACATCGTCGCTAATCGTGCATTATTCGTACCGGCGCCTACGAGACCGAGGGCGAGGATCGCATTGAGGGCAACGTCGGCGTCGTGATCGTGGCTGTATTTGTTCAACACGTCGAGAACTGCTGGGTCGGCATTCGACAGAGAGGATAGAGCCATCGCGAGTGGCATAGCTCGTCGCGCTGGCGTTGGACCGTATCTTCCGATCTATATTCATTAACAATGAACGTTATAATCATAGCAAAGATCTATGATGGCGAGAGCTACGTGGGTCACGTTCTCACAATAAATATCAATTAATGTCAAATCCAATTTAACTGTGATTCTCCGTCTCTTTGTAGGTCTATCTCGAGAAAAGAGACGGATCGCAGTGTTATGAATGAATGATAGGAAGAACCCATAAATATTAATTATGATAAATTGAGGTTTAACTGTTTCTCTTTGTGTCTTTCTATTTTTAGGATATATAAACGCTTGCATAAATAATTACTCAATTTTTCATTATAGATTTACGAAAAATTCAATTTCTCACCTGACCAAAAATTCTCGAGTTTTCCTTCCCTTCTCCAAGCCCAACTATTCCTACTCCAAGAAATGCTATTGCCTGCGGCGCTCCAATATCTCTAAGAAATTATTAATTAATCCTAAATACGCAGAGAAATATATCTTACAACGAAATTTCTCTTAAAATGTACTCTAAAAATTAAATTATATTAATTTATATATTTATACATAATTATTACAATTTTCTGTTTTATTTATTTATGTGTACTTTATATTTTTATTAAGACGTTGAGAAAAATATATTTACTTAGCAGACTCGTCAGTTTGATTGTCAGCCTTTTTATTCTTCTCTAACGTGGCAGAACTATTTTGCGATTCTCTTTGATCGCAACAGCTTGATGTCGGAGTGCTTTCAGGTGTGGTTTTTACACTCGTTATTTCCTCATTTGTTTCCGAACAGATTCTTAATAGTTCTTGTACTATCAAAACATCACCGGTGCCCGCGTACGCGCAAATCTAACAAAAGTACCTTTATTAAGTTTGAATTTTAGATACAAAATATGAGAAACTTTGACAAAATTACGTAGCGATTTTATTTTACTTGTAGCATAGTTTGCGACATAAAATTGTACGGTTTTGGCAGAGCTTCAAGTGCTGCGGATGGTGTTTCTATGGCGTCTCGAGTTCCCATGTAAATCATTCCCAGAGCTAACGCTAAAAATCTACACGTGAAAATAATTTCTACATATATTACGAGTTTATTTAAATGTTATACATAATTATTATTCACATTACGCTAATCCATAATATATATAATTTAATTATGCAACACCTGGAATGCGTAATGGCAAGTTCCTTCACAGATAATCCCAATAATTTTAACAGAATAGTCGAAGACACATCGGAATCTCCCGAGCCTACATTTACAAGGCCCAAGGAGATGGCAATTAATGATAACACTTGCATATTATCTGAAAAATACAGAGCGTAATTAACGATTTTTATCTCTCTTTGATTCAAGAATTCAAGCTACGCACAACATTTATATATCTTGTAAAAATATATTTTATAAAAAATTATATAATTAAAAAAATCAATTAACAATTATTTTCAATTTTTAGCACCTGATTTTCTTCAGTTTGTTCATACAGGGTTTGTCCGGAAAGTAATGCGTCGCATTTTTTTGTGACGCGACTATACATCGCAGAGCGATGGGACCGGTTGGGGAGGAAGGGGGGTACCCTTAGCTTTCCAACGGTAGGTCGCTCAATTGTTTCCATGCGCTTGGAGGGTTAGGACGGCTTATTCTGTGAACCTCTGCTTAGTGGTCGCGTCGAACTTGTGATGGAGAGAACGATAGAGCAACGCTATGCGATAAAGTTTTGCGTGAAGCTGGACAAGACGCCGCTGGAAACTTTTGAAATGCTCAAGAAAGTTTTCGGGGACGATTGCCTTTCCAAATCGCAGTCAAACAGATGGCACAAGATGTTTAGAGAAGGTCGGAAGGAGGTCGCCGACGAGGCCCGCGCAGGACGCCCGTCAACATCGCGAACGGACGACAATGTGACTCGTGTGCGCCAATTATTGAATTCAGACCGTCGAATGAATGTTCGCTTAATGTCGGAATTATTGAACTTGCCGAAAACGATTGTTCACGAGATTGTATCGGAAGACTTGGCCATGCGGAAGATTTGCGCAAAACTTGTGCCCAGAGTGTTGACCGATGCGCAAAAGCAACACCGAGTGGAAGTTTGTGAAGAACTCAAGCAACTCTGTGCAGATAATCCCAATTTCTTTTTTTTATTTCCTCGGCTGAAAAGGGAGCTCAAAGGACAACAGCTCGAGTCGGTTGACAACGTACAAGCTACTTCGACGGCCTCCCTGAACAGCATCCCAGTCAAGGAGTTCCAGAAATCTTATGACGCATGGAAATCGCGTTGGCAAAAATGTATTGACGCAGAAGGGTCATACTTCGAACAATTTTAAGTTGTTTTACCTATGCGATCAATAAATTCTTTTTTAAAAAAATGCGACGCATTACTTTCCGGACAAACCTATAATCATAGAAGGAAGGTTCTTTTCCTCCTGCTTATTTTCTAATTTTAACTAATTAAAATAAAATTAAAGCGATGCACGTTTTACTTTGCTCATCGGCTAAAGCTTCAGAAAGAAATCCAGTAACGTCTTTTCTTCTGGATCCAGAATAAGCCAGACCTAAACCCAAGACGGCCCCGATGCGAAGAATCTGACTGCTCGAGTTCACGTAATCGCTGAGAAGCGCCAGAGCGGGATCGCATTCATTATGAACTCCACAATTTACCAGTCCGATAGCCAGCAAGGCACCAGACTTTATGTAATCTTCGTTCGTGTACAAATATCTATCGGAGAACGAATCATTATAACAATCAATTAACGATTTCAACAAAATTCATGATGAATTTTTTTCACAATCAGTCTATCAATAATTAATTTCTTCTTCCAGAAAATAACGTTTTTGAAAATTAGAGTAAAATTTTCGATGTTTGTGATTTTTTTTCTTATTTTTGTTAGAATTTATATTCACTTGTCGATAGGAACTAATCCACCGTCGACATCCCACATGTGTATTAAGCCCAGAGAAGCAGTAGCTGACAACATTCCATGTTCCTAAAAAAGAGAATGACAGGATGCACATAAATATCATAATTTGCATTAATTTTGCTTCTTTTGTTCATTGATAATCCTCTTCAATAAATAAGAAATATATTTATAATATTATTTACATTTACACACACACACATATATATAATATTTTTTAAATTCATATATAAAATAATGAAATAATCATGTATATAATTATTATTATATAATGATCATAATATAATATTTTTAATTACAAAGTTCATGTAAAAAAATAAGATATAATTATATTACTTATTTAATGTTATATCTTTGAGAATTAATTAACGCTAAATAGGATTCACTGAAAAGACCTTATTTTTGTACACCCAACATTCAGATGTATTCGCCATCAATTTATCCTCGCCGAAACCTGCATGTACGAAACCAGAAACAAAGCTCGCCGCCAAATTCGCTCTCGCAGAATTGTGTTCGATTTGTCTGGATCCACTCATTAACCAGCTCTTATAAATATCTTCCGGAAGTTTCGGCTCGAGTATGTCAAGTTCTCTGGCAAGGATTTGGAAGTGAGTATTCACGTGACCGTTGCTAAAAATCGCCTCTATATCTTTGACGTCATTTCCTTGATACTCTTGTATTTTTAAGGGTTGATCCTGTTTAAAAGTGTCGATTATTAAATTTCATTGAACAATTTTTTTATTGACAATATTTTATTGAAATTGTAATTCATTTTGTGAAACATAAAAAGTTGCAAATTGTTTTGTAGTAAAATATTTAATTTTATGTGATTGAGCTGCTTTTTTATACATTTTAATTTGTCTATATTAATTCTAATAAAGAAAGACAATAAAAAATGTATTTCTCAAATTAAGAAGTAAAGAAAAAAAGACGCTCGTAAATTATAAGATTACAATTTTGAAGATTATATAAAAAATCAAATCTACAGAATTAAAATTCATATAGCTCTAACAAAGATATTTTTAATTATATATTTCAACGTATTTGAAATTAGTGAAGTGCGAGTGGCAATTCTGAGACATTATCACTTTCAACTTATATGTTTTATGTTATTTATCATTTTATTGACTGCGATGCGAATATATATTATTTGCAGAAAGTTACTTGCAGTCGGACGAGGATAAAGGCTAGTTGATTTCTCATCAAAGAGTCAGGACAAGCGTTAAAGCACTTGAAAATGAGTTCTGAATTTGCAAGTTGCAGTGCTATCAAAATTGCTCTTGTAAATTCGTTAAACTTCAGATATTGCTCTGTGGCGAATTCTAATATTTGTCTTCTTTCCGTGTCCTCACTGAGGGATATATAAATGTTGTTTATGCATAAAAATCAGTCAAGCGAATGCAAATTGAACGCACGATTTGATTATGTTGCTTGTTGGATAAATGATCGTTAAACTTTTCTCTCATTTTACTTATGCAACTAAATGTATATATATTATAGAAATTTAAGTGCAATTTAATTAACTATAGACAACACAAGCGCGTGCTTTACGTGCTCCGACGAAAGTAACTCTATCTTTCTATCCTTTCTATCAGATTAATATACCCCACACGTCCGTCACGCTGCGCGGTTCGCGCAGGACTGATCCTTGTGCGGGGTATCGCGAGCGCGGGACCGATGGTCACATGACCACTGATTCACTGGTCACGTGACCATCGGTCCCGCGCTTGCGATACCTCGAACGAGAATCAGTCTCGCGCGAGCCGCGCAACGTCATGGATGAGGTATCTATAGTCTCGCGCGAGTCTAATGAAAGCATAGATATTTGTTACATTTGAGTATGAGAAGAAATAGTTCCGCCGTTTAAAGCATTGTAAATAGCACTTGAAGTTATGAGGGGCTAACTTCACATTTTTTTCCAATTTTGAGGCCGTATAATTTTTTTCCTATTTATTTTAGCGCATTAAACAATAAGGGTAATCGATAGAACTCTTTGGAGGGCTATCAGAACTCTCAATAAAATTACTCAAATATAACAAATATCACACAATGTTAATTGAGACAATCACGGAGTATCACGGAAAAGCAATAACAATATATTTGGGATAATCGACTTTGTATGATTTTTTAAAAAAGAGATTATATTTCAATGCATTTCTCAATGAAATGATTAATTAGATTTCTTTTAATTAATTTATACAATTAGATTTATGTTTCAAACTGTATATTCGATAATATAGGCTGTCTAATAAATCATTAAATTTAGTATTAAAGTGTAATATTATATAAATAAAAATAAGTAAATATACTTTTAATTTCACAGAGAGTAATGTGTTTTACAGTGTCGTTTATTGCAGCTGGAATTACCTGTAAGCCGCGCAGCTAATTAAATAATGACACACTCGTGCAAAGTTTGTGGAATCCAAATGTTCCGCGAGGAAATTCAGCTCATCAATCTCCAAGCACAGATCACATGCTTGTATCTCTGCGTTATGTTTTATATCAAATGCGATGATGCTTTTAATTAACGGTGTAAGACGTTTTCTATGAGAACATTACGGTTTACGTTATTCTTACTTTTTCTTATTGAAAAAGCATATGGCTCTACTTATTTAGAAATATGTAAAGTGATATATTATCTAAATATTTTTAGTAAATTCTCATAAAATTGTTATTTTTATAATTTAAAGTATATTTCTATATTTCTATATTTTAAAATTATCTTTTTAAATAATATATTTTACCTGATCTCATTCTCCTCTTTGATCGGCGCATTTGTCCATTCGTCAACGATTTCTGTTTCGAGTTGTCTCACATATTCATGGCCCCATTCACCGGGATTATTCACCTCTCCCCTGATGCAAAAATTTAAGCAATCCCTGAATGCTGAAGTGGCTCCGGCTAGAGCGAGCACACTCAGAATTTCTGCAAAACGTATTTTTACTTCCTTTCGTTCGAGTCTTTCGTACGATCTCTTCAAGCTCGAATAAAAATGTCTTAAGTATTTAAGAGGTTTTGGAACGGAAGTCATTGAAGTCGTAGATGTGCGTATTAGCATTCTTAGATGATTTAACGATAGCAACATTGCTGTCTCGTCTTTACCCTGATGGAAAAATTAAACGCGATAATTTGAAGTATAAAATTCCCTTTCGAGGAAGATGGGAAAAAGATAGCTTTTTTAATTTTAATTTTATTTTGATGACTTATTGTTTTTCTTCTCTCTCTCTCTCTCTCTCTCTCTCTCTCTCTTTCAGTAAAATAAATAACAAAATGGTAAAAATTTATTTACTTTTAATACGTCAACCGCTTGTAACAGTTCTTCCTGCAAACTCTTATCTTCTTCATTCTGTATAAAAAATATGAATATGTAATGATACGCAAACAAATATATATTTTTTACATGACATTTTTTAAATATAGCTTGCATCTTTTAAATTAAATGTTATATGCATACCATATCACTTTCCTTATCTTGTTCACGTTTATTCATCGTTTTTAAAGCTTTTCTTGCCGCATACGCTAAATATTTGATTAAATTTCGATAAAGCTGAATTAGACGTTTCAACGATTGAAAAAGCTTTAATTAATAAGCTGTCAAATAAATTCATTTATCTCAATTTATCCGTCATACGCAGCGCACGGCTTTTGTTTCGTCATTTTGTGGAAACTGGTATAAAAAATAGTTTATATGTATATAGGATGATTCAAAACAACCGTTGGTCTTTAAAATGTATTCCTGACTTGATTCTAAGACGATTTTTCTTTTGCCAAAATTTTATTTGAAGCTTAGTTTTTAAAATATTAAAAAAAAATAGCGAATTACGGCACGCAATTAAAATTTTAATTTATTAAATTTGTATTATGTCTCGACATAATAATAATTCAAGAATTGAAATTATGTCGCAACATAATAAAAATTTGAACTGCAAGAGCCATCTCTCGAAATAGAATACTTGGTGAATGTGTTATCAAAGAATGGTTATTCAGTGCTCTTCGTGGAACGTTTGCCAAGGCTCGTTTAGTACTGTCATCTATATCCCTTTTAAAATGTAGAATTATTCAGCTAAAAATAATGTTAACACTGTTGGTAAAATTGCCATTTGATACATGTTGTTTACAAATAATAAATCATAAATAACTTTGTAGACATATCGGATATACAAGAAGATTTGAAAATTTTTTTGACATTTTCACGTTAAAGCCTGAAGTTTTCCCTGCAAAAATTAAAAAATTTAAATTTTTATCTTTCCTTATCAAGTTATCGCAAATTGAAAAAAAAATATAATTTTCACTTTAATCGTTCATAACTCCGTTAAAAATCATCGTACAGCAATTTCGAGACACTACCGTATTTCTTGATAGATATTAATATAAATTTGAGGTTTAAACGTTTAAATATGAATAGTCAAATCACGCGTATTATTCGATTTTGCATCTAAAATCTCTATATAGAGACACGTAGACATTCATAACACGATCGCAATGGTTGAGCTTTCAGGAAGAGGTGTTAACCGGTAGAGGAGCAGACTACCACGCCCAGTTCGTAAAATTTCATTTCTAACTGATTAAAATCTAATATGGAAACACGCCTACCCTAATATAGGGGTCTGCTAAACCGTGTTGCGATGTACCATCTCGAAATCCCGTTGTCTCTCATTTCTGACTTAACAGTTTAGCTTCAACTCGATTTTTCTCTTCTTTTAATCGAAAGTTGACGCTTTTTTTGGAATATTCCTTCTACAATTAATCTTTTTTTTATAAAATATTTAATATAATTTTGTATACATATTTTTGGAATGCACAATATCTTCTAAAATATTATTTTTTCTCAGTGTAATTTTTTTCTTCCAAAATAAAACTCTAACTTTATTTTATTCCATTAAGACTTGCTCTGATATTATTAAAATTTGCATGCAAAAAGTTTAATATTGGAATATTCAATATTCTTATCCATGTTCTTTGTAGATTTTTTTTTCGTTGTTCAGCACATTGTAGAATATCCTATTCCTACTTCGAATCGTGACTTGTTTGTCTCGTTCTATAAACAGTCTAATTATATCAGTACATATGTTGACCATGTATTTCCTTGAGCAGAACAAATCGATCGCGTGTCATCTTCATGCCAGCATTGAACGATTTCTCCTCGTGTCGACAAGTGCCGTTTCGACTGATATCCTTATATAGTTAGGGTCGTCTCGTGATTCCGTTCGTAAAATCATATGATTTCTCTTGCCGCGCGTGATCTGTGTACATGTATATGTGTGTTTGATTGAGTTAAATCTTTAATTCTCTGCATCGATACAAAGTAATGTAATACTAGTGTATCAAAGAAACGATTTAGTTAATCTTATATCCTTAAAAGAGGCAGTCTGTGAATTGGAAGCAAATACTTTGCATTTCATCTTTGTTTCTCTTTGCTAAAGTAATTAGCACGAAAAGTAAGGAAAGTGATAAGTTTTGTGTGAAAATTTCATTTTATGCGCGCTGTAGAATGATATCTCTTTCTTTCTCTATTTTTTAAATAATTTATTATATATTATAATTAAATATGTAAAAGTTTATTATTATGTTGGTAAATATTCACTTTTTAATTAATAAAAAGCTTTTGGTAATTATGTAGTAAATATAAAAAATAGTCTATATAGAATACAAAAGAAATAATTAAAATTATTAGTTGAGAATAAAAAGTTTTGAGCGTTTAAAAGTAACATTTTTTAAATTAAAAAGTCTATCATATATCGACGAAAAACAGTAATATAAAGTTTATACAGTAATTATTTTACGGGAATTTTTTTGATGACTTTGATATTGATATGGTTATAGAGGGATTAAACATATAATTATGTCTTAATATTTATATATTAATAATAATAATAATTAAATTAAAAGATAAAAATTTTAATATTTGTGTATATTTTGAAAATTATACTAGGCTATGTCTTAAAAATTTAATAAATATTGTGTAAATATTAAAATTTTTATCTTTCAAATTTTATTATTATTATATAATCTAATTTTATTATTTATTATATAATCTAATTTTATATTATTATTTTTCTTATAATAAATATAATGAATAATGCATCAAACATATATATCTTCCAGCTAAATGTGTTAGGTTTATTTTAAGCTTATTTGTTTATATTTTAATTAGATTGAATTTTTTTATCATTATAGATGTTAATTTTATTTGCACAGTTAGCATGCATCTTTACGAATTTTTCAACATCGTGAATCACGATAAATATATTGTTTAATTCAACATTATGTATTATTCGTTATGTTATAAAATAACAAATTGTCTACGACATAATTTTTTTGCTTTATTAACGCGCGACTTCAACAGTTTAATTATTATTGCCATATTAAGAAGAAAACTCTGTATATTTTACGTGTCATTTTAATTATATCTTCGTTTTTGTCTTTCTTGTCAATTTTTGGCACATACAAATATTTTTGAAGTTTGAGCGCCTCCAGTATGAAAATACGAGACGTGTTTTTTAAATAAGGCTCGATCGGACATTAAAAAAAGGAAATCAAATAAAAGAGAAAACTTTTACTATTAGGGTACTATTTTACTTTTACTATTACAACACTTTTACATATATACTTTAGTTTTCTACGTATATAGTCATTATTTTTCTTTTTTAATAAAAAATCTTATTTCTTGGTACCACAAAAGTGCTTAGGAGAAAAATGGTAACTACGTGTAGAAAAATAAAATATGTACAAGTGTTATATCAGTAATAAAAGTTTTCTCTCTTACTTTGCTTTTTCTTTTTAATAATGTTCGACCGAACTTTACTTAAAAAACACGTCTCGTATTTATGTAATAAAGCCTCAGCAAATTCTTTTCTTTTTTGCTTCTTGGTCTATCAACTGGGAAATGATTTATCTCGGAGATATCTGTGACGCATCCGAGGCTAATAATAAATTCGGATGACGACAGATTTCAATTCGAATTTTATATTAACAACACTTTGTTTTATTTATTATTTTTTACCATTTAATTGCGCTTTTATTTTTATATACAAAATAGAAGTAAAATGTCACAAAACAGATATGAAAAATCTCGTCAAAAATTATTCTATACAATCATATGTTTTTTAAATTATAACTATCACATTTTTCCCAAATATGATTTTCCCATAGTATCCGACCGTTATTGGCTATCGGGAAAATTAACGCAAACATTTTTCCTAGACTTTAAAATAAATAATAAAATATTTTAATAAAAAGCAAATTAAAACAATATGTTTATAATTTTTGGTTTATAAATTTATTTAGTCAAATCTAATATCTGCAATTCAAGGAATTTTTAAGATAAACGTATTTCAAGATGAAAATGATGATGTGATTAAATCCTAGAAACTATTTTATATATATAACAATGATAATTTTTAAATAAAATAACCAACTATTTAAAAATTAACTTGAAATAATGTATAAGATAAACTTGTACAATTTTTTTTATAAGAAAAAAAGAATGTAAATAGAATGCAATAGGAAGACAATACATTTTTTAGACAACAAAAACTAATAATTTTAAGTGTAGTAATATAACTATTTTATAGTAATTCAAACAAATCTTTGTATTTTTTCAGACAATGTATACATCGGTCACCGAGAAGCAACAAGTGCTGCTGTTGCTTTTGACAGAAATTATTCTAATTGTTTTAATTGGAACAATAATGACGTATGGCCCGGAAGCAAATGCTAGTTTGCTTAAAAATCACACCGGTATATACAATATATATATAATACACGTATATTTTATAATATTTGTTATAGAGGCAATTTACAATTTACATCAAAATAATATAATTTCTACAAAAAAAATAGAATTATAGAATATTATTATTATTAATAATAGTTCCAAAGTAAGGAATTTAGTTATTATCAATTAAAAGATATTTTGAATAATTAATTAATATTTTTATTGTATCTGAAAAAAAATATTTTAAACTTACAGGCATTGCCGACAAACATAAACAAACGAAGAAACCAGACGAAGATTCATTGCGGATTTATCCGAGTAAGTATATTAAAGTTTAATTACATTTATTAATTGATTTGAAGGTATGAAATAATTTTTTCTATATGTGCATTTACTTGAAACAATTTTTTAAAGTACGTTAACTCAACGTAATATATTATGTGCTATTAAACAACAAAAATGACTTTTTGAAACTTTATTTAAAAAAATATATTTGTTTTTAAAAACAATAAAAATTTATAAATAATTTAATTTACTTATAAAATAATTTACAAAAAAAAATGATTGTTCTTTTATAGTGTATACAGTAACTTCTAAGTATTAATTATAAATAATATAACAGCTTAATATATACATATAAGGTAATTCTAAATTGAATATAAAGATTTTAATAACAAATTCTATGTAACATTTTAAAACAAAAATTCTAATAGGAAATTGTCGATGCCATATATTTTTCAAATAAAAAAGTTCAAAGATTGCGAATATCAGGGCTAGAATTAACATATAAATTATGTACATTAAATTATTGGCATTCCGTATATGTTGAAATAATAATTACATTATAAGTGCCTAGGACTGTACGAGAATTAGTTTACAATAAACAAAATACTCGAAATACGACCAAAATACAGAAACATATCATTTTGTTTAATCTAACCAAATATAATTACACACACAAAGCAAAGTTATATTAATCTTTGATAATAAAATCTCAAAAATTGCGACGCATGCATGCAAAAATTATTTATTAAAATTAATGCATAAAATATATTAATTAATTATGCAACGCATAAAAATTTATTTAATTAAATCTTTAACTTATTCTTTAAATCTTTAAAATACAAATGAAGAAATAAAAATTTTTACAAGAATCTTTTATGATCAAATATCTACGCTTTCATTAGACTCGCGCAAAATTTCATACCCCATATGTCTATCACGCTGCGCGGTTCGCGCGAGACTAATTCTCGTTCGAGGTATCGCGAGCGCGAAACCGAGGTCACGTGACCAATGGATCGACTGGTCACGCGACAACTGATCATGTGACCACTGGTCATGTGACCATCGGTCCCGCGCTCGCGGTACCCCGCATGAGAATCAGTTTCGTGCGAGCCGCGCATTGTAACTGATGTGTGGGATATATTAATTAATTAATCTAATCACATGATCAGTTTCGCGCGAGCCGTGCAGCGTAGCGGATACATATAGACGCGTGGATCTAATGGAAATGCTTATATTTTGATTGAAAGATTCTTGTAGAAAATTATATTTTTTTCTGTTAAAAATTTATATACTGAATTTTTATGAATCACGTAATTAATAAATATATTTCTATGTATGTATTGCAATAATAATTTTATTGTATTGTAATTTTTAAAGTTTTATTATCAAAGCATAATATAATTTTTGAATATATAATTTGTTTCACGAATATAATATAATTTTCACGAGAATAATATAATTTCACAAAAATAATATAATTTGTTTTACGCACATAATTATATTTTATTAAATTAAACGAAATAAGAAAAATACATAAAGAGATGCATATATACAAAATAGTTGTAAAAATAGAAATTCGACGATTTGAAATTACCCATACAGCACCGAAAGATTGCAAAAACATTACAACAATCTTTCACCGCAATATTGCAATATTGCAAATTCACTGCAAAATGTTGCTACATCATTGCAGTTGAATTGTAGCAATGTTAAAATGTCCGCTTTTTGGAAGATTGCAACAAAATATTACAACAATATTGCAATATGTTATGAGTTTGCAATAATGTATTGTTATTGCAACCATAAACTAATGTTGCATATACAGGTATATAAATGTAAATAAATCATTAATGAAAATACGTTGTAGTTAATTCATATATATTACAATATATAAATTATAGAATTTGGATTACATGCAATATTTCCGAAATATTAATGTCATGTTGCTACAAGTGTGCTGGAATTTTGTGCACTTATATCTCTGCAATGTCTTTATAATGTTGCATTGCAACTTGCAACATTGCAACGTTGCTGCAATATATTTGCAATAATCTGTGCTGTATGGGTATGTACATAATTGAAATTTGGCGAATTAAAATTATGATCATATTCATAGCATCAAGCTATTGTCATGGCAAAGATTAACAATTTGACAATTGTAAAAAATGCACGTTTGTGTCGTCTAATATAATAAATAATTCATAATACATATATCCATAAGTTAGGAATATTTCGTAAATTTAAATGAATACATGTTTACAAGTCCATGATAAATATTTATTGGATATAAAATTAATTAAATATGTTAGAATAGAGTATTATGATTTTGATTTCGTGTGATTCTCGAAATGGAACATGACAACGACGAATTTTTTATTTTTATTTTTTCTAATTTCTACTTGTAGAATATTCTCCCAATTGTTGATTAAATCCTGCAACACCCTGTATATATTTTCTTGTTAGTAAAAAATTCAAGAGAGAAACTTGTAATATTTTACATAACTTAACCTGTATGGATATCTATGTATATCCGTTTCATATACCAAAGTGCGTCATAATCGTACAAAAGCATAATAAAAGTAAAAAAACCTATGTCAGCACATGAAAGACAGAGTTACGACCTCTGATGTCTTGATCTTTTCTATATTTTGAACAGATCGCCGATTACTATTGTGCATTCGAAAGATTATCAGTTGCGTTAGTCATCGGAGACAGTACAGCTTTGGCATCTGTTGGCAAATGTTGCCGTGTTGAACAATTTAAATTTGAAAGTTAACTAAATATTTTGGTAAACTCGACGTAGCTTCAGGTGTATAAATCAATACAGCATCATGTGATCTTTATTTTTAAGAATAATTAATTTATTATAATTTAATTGATTTATTATAATTATTTCAAATAAAGTTTATTTAACAAATTATTTGACTATAATGATGCAAAAAGTTCGTAAATCGAATTCCACTAAATACATGTAAAATTAAAAGTGTTTATAAATGTACTTTTAAAAGAAAAGGTAAAAAAAATTTTTTTTAATGGAAGCGTATTGCGTATTCGATGATGACTATTTTGATTAATTTGAGTTTATTATATAGTTACTTGTATATACTGTGGCGATTATATCATCACATGCTTCCCCAAAAATATTAGCAAGAGAAACACGTATACGAATACGGACACTCACGCATACGAAAAGGATAGAGAGACAAATAAACATAAATAGAAATAAATATAACAGACGAGACGAAAGACGAAAAACATCGTGACGTTAGAGACAAAGAAATTAAACATAGAAAAAGTTCGCGAAGCCTCTCGAAGCCGATCGAAGGGCGTTTTGAGGCGAACGAGAAGTAGAATATTTTTACATGCGAAAGGAGAGTTCGCTACCGATAGTCGCCGCGTACAGTCACACTATATCCGCACGGTCTTTCTTTATATATTGCTGTATCGAATTTTAACGTGTGCATTTGAGAAATATATTAGTGATATCAGCAAATACTCTCTCTCACATCATTATTAAATTCCCGTCTCGTATCGTTCCTTCAAATTCATCGCGACGCGCGTAATAATTACCAAAGTGGTGACCCCGACGTGATCGCGAACGAGCGGGAATTCGCGATTCTTTGTTCGTGTGAGAGCAGTACATTTTTTAACTTTTTTATTATTGTGACGACGAGTGAGACGATTTATCCGATCGTACACGAGTGAGACAGTGACCAGTGGCGAGTAAAAAAAACAATTTGACATGGTGGTGACACGAGACGAAGAAACGGGCGCTCCGCTGCCGGAGCCAGAAGCACGAGCGCTGGAGCAGCCGCGACTCCATGGAATGCCGATGAACCTGCTCGGGATGCAACCGGCGAGATACGAGCAGCCGCCAGGGTATTTTTTACCCGCTCCTGAGGTGAGCCGCGTAGGCATGCGGATGCCAGAGTTCACGCCGTCAGACCCTGAACTCTGGTTCAGTATCGTCGACCGGAGTTTCCAAGCCGCCGGAATCACGGTCGACGCGACTAAATTCGGATACGCGCTGACGGCCATCGGACCGCGTTATACAATCGAAGTGCGCGATATTATCATGAATCCGCCCGCGGAACGCGCATATGATACTTTGAAATCGGAATTGATCAAACGGCTCAGCTTGTCGCAGGAGCACAAAACACGTAGACTCCTCGAGCACGAGGAAATCGGAGACCGAAAGCCGTCGCAGTTCTTGCGGCACCTGCGCGGTCTCGCCGGAAGTGCCGTGGGCGACCAGATTTTACGAACGATCTGGCTGAGTCGGCTGCCGGCGTATATACAGCCGCATTTAGTGACGCGAACCGGGGACACGCCAGAACAATTAGCGGACATCGCGGACGCGATAATCGAGGCGACCCGGGCGCCGGTGTTCCAAGTAGCGGAGGCAGCAAGAGCCGTAACGCCTCAGGGACAGAACGCAAGTGATCCCGCGTCTCTGGAGGCGAAATTCGAGGTGCGCCTGGCGCAAATGCAGCTGACAATGCAGCGGGAGATCGCGGAGCAGATGGCGGCAATCCGAAAATCCATCGAGGCGATCGGCAGCGAGCGCTATCGAGGAGGTCGCGATGACGACCGACGTCGTCCGCGTTCGCGTTCGCGTTCGCGCCCGCGCGCGCGATCGGGAGGTCGCGATCCGCCGGCCAGTGGTATGTGCTGGTACCACTGGCAATTCGGGGCGGACGCTAGACAATGCAGAGCACCCTGCTCGATGCAGCAGGGAAACGCGGGGGCCGGTCGCTAGTGGCGGCGAGCGACTCAGGCCACGGAACGCGACGCCTGTTCGTGACTGACGCGAGCTCTAAAGTGACTTTTTTAATCGACACGGGTGCGGATCTCTGCGTGTACCCTCGAAAGATGGTTCGAGGTCCACGACAGAGATCCACCTACGAACTTTCGGCCGCCAACGGTACAACGATTTTTACTTACGGGACGGAAACCCTACAATTGAATTTCGGATTACGACGGGCGTTTTCGTGGCGGTTCGTGGTCGCGGACGTCTCGAGACCGATAATCGGCGCCGATTTTCTGGCGCACTACGGACTCCTGGTGGACCTACGCGGGTCGCGTCTCATCGACCAAGTAACTAGTCTAACCGCGCGTGGACGTTGCATCCAGTGTGATGCACCCAGCGTAAAGACAATTACGGGAGAGACTCCATACCACCGATTACTGGAGCAGTACGCAGATATCGCGAGGCCAGACGGGCGTCCGGGAGGCGCGATCCACGCCACGCGGCACTACATAGAGACGACACCGGGACCGCCCGTCGCGTGCAGACCGCGGAGACTCGCTCCGGACCGATTGGCGGCGGCAAAACGTGAATTTCGGAAAATGGTGGAAGCCGGGGTCGCGAGACCGTCGAATAGTTGCTGGTCGGCTCCTCTGCACATGGTGCCGAAGAAAGGAGAAGAATGGCGACCCTGCGGCGACTACAGGGCATTAAATGCGCGAACGATCCCGGATCGCTACCCGGTGCGACATATACAAGATTTCGCGCAGGCTCTCGCCGGAAAGACAATTTTTACAACGTTAGACTTGGTACGCGCGTATCACCAGATACCGGTGGCAGAAAAGGACGTGCCGAAGACGGCAATAACCACGCCGTTCGGCATGTACGAATTCCCGTACATGTCGTTCGGCTTACGTAACGCAGCGCAAACCTTTCAGCGCTTCATAGATGAAGTTCTGCGCGATTTTGATTTTCCTACGCGTACATTGATGACATCCTCGTCGCGTCATCCTCGGAGGAAGAACATCGCGAACATCTGCGGATGTTATTCGAGCGTCTACGAGAATACGGGGTTATCATCAACCCCGCGAAGTGCAAATTCGGCCAGAGCAGCGTGGAATTCCTCGGATACGAGGTTTCCGAAGGAGGAACTCGCCCGCTGCCGACGCGAGTGGAGGCGGTGCTGACGATGCAGTCGCCGAGGACGGCGAAAGAACTCCGAAGATACTTGGGCATGGTAAACTTCTACAGGAGGTTCATGCCCAAGGCCGCCGAAATATTGACGCCCCTGAGCGACCTTCTGCAGGGAAATATCAAAGGAAAGGCGACAATATCGTGGACGGCGCGGGCTCAACAAGCATTCGAGGCATCGAAGACCAATTTAGCCGAGGCCGCCCTTCTGAGACACCCCAGGGCAAACGCGGAGCTCGCATTGTTTACCGACGCGTCCGAACAAAGCATCGGCGCGTCATTACAACAACGAGGCAGTGACGGCTGGGAACCCTTAGCGTTTTTCTCGAAAAGGCTAAGCCCAGCCGAAACGAAATACAGCGCATTCGACCGAGAACTACTAGCAATTTACCTGGCGGTGAAGAACTTTCGGCACATGGTGGAAGCCCGCACGTTCGCAATATACACGGACCATAAACCGATAATATACGCATTCCGCCAGAAGCCTGAGAAGAGCACGCCGCGACAATTCCGCTATTTAGATTATATCGGACAGTTCACCGCCGACATTCGACACGTGGCGGGCGTAGAAAACGTCGTGGCCGACGCGCTATCGAGGATAGAAGAGCTCAACTCTCCCCTGGATTACGCCGCGTTGGCGGAATCGCAGGAGAAGGACGAGGAGATTGAGAAATACTTGCGGCGAGAGTCCGGCCTGAAACTCAACAGGATAGAGATTCCCGGAACCGGGAGAAAAATTTATTGCGACACGACAACAACGATACCACGACCGTTTTTGACAAGGCCTTTTCGCCGGGCCGCATTTGATCTGATACACAATTTGGCGCACCCGGGTATTAAGACGACGGGCAAGCTCGTGGCACAGCGCTACGTTTGGCCGTCTATGAACGCCGACTGCCGGGTCTGGGCTCGAACATGTGTGCCCTGCCAACAATCAAAGGTATCACGACACGTGTCAGCACCGCTCGGAACAATTGCTGCGCCATCCAGCAGATTCGAACATATTCACCTGGATATCATCCTAATGCCAGTCTCGGAGGGCAAACGATATTGCCTGACGTGTGTGGATCGCTTCACACGATGGCCGGAGGCGTTCCCGTTGCGAGACCAGGAGGCAGAGACGGTTGCGAGAGCCTTCTACGAAGGGTGGATATGCAGATTTGGAGCACCTCTACGGATCACGACGGACCAGGGCCGTCAATTCGAGTCCAGGCTTTTCCGGCGGTTGAGCGAGCTTACGGGAGCGCGCCACCTAAGGACGACGGCGTACCATCCGCAGGCGAACGGGATGGTCGAACGGTTTCACCGACAACTAAAAGCAGCGATCAAATGCCAGCAGAACGACCGCTGGACCGAGGTGCTGCCGACGGTGTTGCTCGGGATCCGAGCAGCCTGGAAGGATGACCTGCGAGCGACCGCGGCCGATATGGTATACGGCCAAACGTTGAGGATTCCGGGGCAGTTCCTGAATCGGCGACCGACGGAGGACGAGGACGACGCCGCCGATTTTGTCGGAAATCTGCGAGAGCAATTCGAGAAGCTGCGACCTGTGGATGGGACCCGACACGGCGAACGACGACCATTCATATACAAAGACCTGACGACGGCCGAGCACGTATTCGTTCGACACGACGGGCCGAGGACGATGCTACAGGCGCCGTACGAGGGACCATTCGCAGTGATCAGCCGCAGCGAAAAGATCTTTGTCGTGCGAATGCACGGCAAGAAAAAAACGGTCTCTATAGACCGCATTAAGCCTGCTTATATTTTACAGCCCGAAGCAGAAAACAGCAGCTCAGCAGGGTCGGCGACACGGAGCCGAGAGGGTGCGGTCGACGGACGAACAGCGCGAGACCAGGACACCGAGGTCGAGCGGCGAGGCGCGCGAGAGGACGCGAGGCCGCTGCCCCGAGTGAGCGAAAGGACGACACGAACGGGAAGGAGAGTCCGATTCCCGAGTCGGTTCCAGGCGGGACTGTAGCACCGAGGAACCTGGACGCAGATCGCGAAGTCGTGAGGAATCGCCGCGCATATGTATATATATGTAAAAAAAAAAGGAGTAAATATACGGTTCGCGGTTTTGTTAAATTTTGACGGTTGTTTGCGATAAAATTTTATACATAGTAACATTGACAGAAGTCGCGAAACGAAAGAAAACGAATGCGGCGCGTACCGGAAATGTGTATAGATATTCTGTTTTTATTTTTTTTTATTTTGTAAAAGTAAATTGACGAATCTCAGACCGAGAACGACGGGCGTTAGCGCAACGATAAATAAATTGAGATTTTTTTTTGTATGTAGAGTACAGCATATCATTATGTCATAGTATTTGGTTTTATATGCTTCAAACGTATCATGTAACGGCGGAAAATTGTAATTCGTCTCGGTCTGCCATCGGGAAAACTATTGCAGGAACGCGCAGTGTTCAAACGATATCGTGCTATCGGTATAGCACTGGCGGGGGAGTACTGTGGCGATTATATCGTCACATGCTTCCCCAAAAATATTAGCAAGAGAAACACGTATACGAATACGGACACTCACGCATACGAAAAGGATAGAGAGACAAATAAACATAAATAGAAATAAATATAACAGACGAGACGAAAGACGAAAAACATCGTGACGTTAGAGACAAAGAAATTAAACATAGAGAAAGTTCGCGAAGCCTCTCGAAGCCGATCGAAGGGCGTTTTGAGGCGAACGAGAAGTAGAATATTTTTACATGCGAAAGGAGAGTTCGCTACCGATAGTCGCCGCGTACAGTCACACTATATCCGCACGGTCTTTCTTTATATATTGCTGTATCGAATTTTAACGTGTGCATTTGAGAAATATATTAGTGATATCAGCAAATACTCTCTCTCACATCATTATTAAATTCCCGTCTCGTATCGTTCCTTCAAATTCATCGCGACGCGCGTAATATTAATTACCAAAATACTAATTTCACTAGAAATCACATTGATTTAGTACATTTCCCATATGGGATGACGCACGATGCCGTTTCATTGCTGGATATGTGATGGTCTAATGCACGCGATTATGCTATTGTTTGTCGAGGGCATTCTAATGTGCACTTTTTTTGCTATGTATTATGCTCCGAAGGCGGATGCCGCCCTTCGAGAGAATAGTGTCGCACCTCATTTGAATGGAGAATCGATTTTTCTGCCGGTTTCGTATACATGTAAGTTAAAAAAAAATAAGTCAGTAAAAAAAAAAAATAAAAAATAAAGTAAAAAGATCTTGAAAAATTATTATAAAGTTAAATATTAGATTATTAAAGTGTATTATTATGTGTTCCTTTTCACATACATATGTATATATTTTATTAATTGTCCAAAAAGTCTGTACAGAAAGTGTTGTTTTAATGCTTATATTTTATTACTTAAATCTACTTTTCCTAGAACAGATATTAAAAGATTGAAAATAAAAATTGTACACATTATAAATTTAAAAATTTTTTTGTATTACACGTGCAGGCAATGTGGCACTTTCGGTGCATGTTTTCTGTGCCGAAAGCGGCCGATTTCCCCCGCCGCCATCTAGCGGCGACACGGTGAGTGAATAAGCCGGTTTCAAAGCCATTATCTACGGCTGAGCCGCGTTAAAAGTCATTGTATACGGCTCAAGCCGTAGGAAATGTATTGAAACCGGCTATTCCCCACCTTGCCGCGGCAAGATGGCGGCGTGCGATCAGCCGCCTCGCGCACAGAAAACGCGCCGAAACAGCCACTTTGTCTGCACTTGCAATACAAAATAGTATGTGTATCAAGTGCGGATTGACAATTGTTCACTCGTGTGGGGTGGTCGCACTCGCCTTCGGCTCGTGCGTCCATCCCCCGCACTCGTGACCAATTGTCAACTTTCCGCACTTGATACACAATATACTATTATTATATTACATGAATTAAAATTATATTTTATTTTCTCTCTAAACTGACTTGAGATCTTCTGGATTTTTTCGGTTTTATTCGTTTTTCTTTGCTACTTGCCCTTGATTTTCTTTTTTTCTTTCTTCTTTCTCAATAATTAATTTATACTTGCATTGTTCCTTATTTCTACGATATTTCTATTTATCTTTCAATTCCTTTACATTGAGGATGCGCGTAAATTGATGAATCTAATAATAAAAACATGTTCGTCTTATCACTATAAATAGTAATCGTGATTAATATATGCCATTGACATTCTCGGAATAGTTTATAATTATAAAATAAAATACATATAAAGCAAGCAAACATAACATGTTCTTTAATTGTGTGTGTTGAAAATTCTTTTCAAAAAAATTATACCAAAAATTGTAACAAGCTCTTTCTATATTAATTCCTATCTAAACTTACTAAAATGACACAGTGTATCAAGATGTCCACGTAATGATTTGGATCGGCTTTGGCTTCTTAATGACATTTCTAAAGCGGTACAGTCAGAGCGCTGTAGGCTTGACTTTCCTTGTTGCTGCGATACTCGTTCAAGTGGCTTTAATCTGTGATGGCGTGCTGCAAATGACTTTGGGCAGCAAAGCTTATCTTCTTTGGAAAGGTATCATTCAATGGCGCATTCTTTTGATAAGGCATGAATATTAAAAATAATTCTTTTTGTTCAATTTTTATTAATTTATGATATTGATAAATGTTGCGATTGTCATTAATTATTGCATCATATATTTCTTTTTTATGCAAAAATTTTTCAGCCTTCTTAATGCCGATGTTGCTGTTGCTGCACCACTTATTTCCATGGGTGTAGTCCTGGGTAAGGTGACTTATATGCAACTAATATTTATGGGAATAGTGGAACTGATTATGTTTACCATCAACAAGTACATAGGGGAGAATTTATTTATGGTAAGTTTATCTCTGGTTTTAGCCACTCGCAATTATTTATAAGAACATATAACATTTATGAATAAGATTTTCTTCCTCGTTTTTATCAAAATATAATTTTCTCGTCTACATCTTTTTAGGGGGATCAGAAAAGAAGTTACATTCGCTCTTCTAAACATTTTCCAATATCTCTTGTAGACATTTTCAAAATATAATGTACTTCTTTGATAAAAATATTATCCTAAAAAACTATATAGTAGTATTTATATATTAATAATATATACAAAAAAATTATACAGAATAAGTTACTCTTAACATTAAAATCTAACAGTAAGATATATTCGGTGCTCCTTAATGATATGAAAAATGCTTCATATGTATTTAATAAAGTGAAATGCCAATGTATTGTATAGCAAGACTCCAACATACAATCTAATTAATATAATAACTTAATATATAATATATAATTATTAATATAATATATAATAATTAATATATAACTTAATACAAATATATATTCATATATTAGTATATATATTGATAAAATAATAAATATTAATAAATAGATTTATTTATGTGTGTCTTTGTGTGTATAATATACATAAATATACATATATATAAAATACACACACACATATTTATTTTAATTTTTATAGGCCGTCGACGCTGGTGGTAGTATGTTTGTTCATGTATTTGGTGCATACTTCGGATTAGCTATCAGTTTTATATTTGGAATAAAGGATCGACCAAAAGAAAATGAGCTTGAGGGATCATCTTATCAATCAGATATATTCGCCATGATTGGTATGTGTCGTGGTCGTATCTTATATAAGATACAAATTTTTTTTTGTGTATTAACTATCATGTAAATCTATTTAAATTTTTAATGTTCTGATATTTTTTGTAGAAAATTTTGATAAGAAATTCATAATTTTGAAATTATTCTAATTTAATGCATAATTGTTTCTGTATGAAGACATTTTTAAATTTCTTTTTGTATGTTTATTATTTTTGTATTTAATATTTATTTCGAATTTTTTTTTTTAAATACTTTTCTCATAAATATATGAAATATAAAAACTTTTATTTACATATTTTATTCTATTACATATTCTATAGCTGATATCAAGACGTTTACAAAACACTGTTTGACAGTTTTATTTAAATAAAAATTTTCTAAAATTTTATATATATATATATATATATATATATATATATATATTATTTCTTGATTTATTAGAAGTTTAAGCCGATAAATGATACATACACAAACACAGATGTAAGTCTATCCATTATAATCTTCTTGTAAATCACTTTGAGTAACATGCTAATGCTGACAATACTTTAATCTTATTGACTTATAACTCAGGGACTTATAGTTAAAGCAGTTCCTAAATAGCGTTTTGTATACGTGACATTTAGCTGAAGAAATATGCAATAAAAATATGGACTTTTATTTAAAAAATTAAAAATACAAACTTGACATAATTTTTTATCTAGAGGAATTACCACATAGTTTTATATCTTTTATCTAGATATATTTAAAACAAACCCATCTTTATCTTGTCTAAGAGATAAATTTACATATTTTTGTTTCATCTTTATTTAGCTAATTTTAAAGTCATTTAACAGTATATTTATCATGCGCCTGTATCATCACATTTTTACTCTTTCATATTTTGAGAAAAATGCTACATGATTAACAGAGGATCAATTAATAATAATAACTATTTTTTTAAATCACTATTTTTTAGGCACGGTGTTCTTATGGCTATTCTGGCCGTCATTTAACAGCGCCGGATTGAAAGGAGATGATCAACAACGGGCCATAATCAATACTTTGCTATCGATTTCTGCTAGTTGCGTAGTCGCATTCGCCGTATCCGCATTTGTTTCTAAAGAAAATAAATTTAATATGGTGCACGTGCAAAATTCGACTTTGGCTGGTGGCGTAGCCGTCGGTACAGCTGCAGGTATTGTCAAAAATCATTCTTGATGTCTTATTAATTTATTCACGCATGAAAACAAGATATTTTTATTTATATATTATTTATATACACTCTCACTTCAAAAAAGCGGTATACTTAGAATTTGGAAAAAAATCAAATTTCAAATCACGATAACTTTGTAAATAATAAAGATGGAAAAGTTTCTAAAAAATGAAAATAAAATTTGGAATCTCTACTTTAAGAATTTATTCATTTCAATGTTGCGAGATAAATTTATTAAAAATGACGGATAACGAAACGAGAGTATGCAAAATTGAAAAATAATGTCCGAGTTTGCCAAGGCACATGGTGTGAAACAAATGTTGCAACTCAATGTGGTAAAAGCTTATAATAGTACAGAGTTTCTCCTTTAAAATGCTTTTTTATCCATCTCCATACAATGATTTTTCGCAGAGTTATTTGCATTAAAAGTAAAAAACTGCTTTTTTATTCAAATACGAATATCTCGGCGAAAAATCATCGTATCAAGATGAATAAAAAAGCATTTTAAAGGGAAGACTCTGCATTATCATATGCTTTTTATCCCATTGAGTTGCAATGTTGATTCACGTCATGTGCCTTGGCAAACTGAGACATTATTTTTGAATTTTGCATGCTTTTGTTTCGTCATCCGTCATTCTTAATAAATCTATCTCGCAACATTGAAATAAATAGATTTTGAAAGTAAAGATTTCAATTATTTTTATTTTTTAGAAACTTTTTTATCTTTTATTTCTATTATTTACAAAGTTATCGTGATTTAAAATTTGATTTTTTTCCAAATTTTAAGTGTACCGCTTTTTTTGGAGTGAGTATATTTTATTTAATTGCAAAAATGTACAGAAATAATAGATAATTATTTTGTTTCTTATTTATTATATTTTTGTTGGCTTTTCTTTTTTATACATTTTATATTCTGACTGATTATTTATTTATCATAATGACTCTTTCCTTACATTTTTAATTGATTGTAATAATTCAACATTTTTTCATATATTTTATTATGTAAGAAATTCAAATGTCTTCGGACGAGAAATTGTTATAAAATACTTGTTCAAGAAACAAGTGCAATAATATTTTTTATTAGCGCTATCTTGTTCATTGAGTTAAACATGTTTTTCTCTAATTTTATTCTTCTTTTTTTAATGCATAGGTATGATGTGTGAACCAGTAGGTGCTTTGATTATCGGCGCTTTATCCGGTTTTATTAGTGTACTGGGATACAAATATCTTACGGTAATTATAATTATTGATATGCAATAGGAAAAATAAGGAATAATAATAGTATAAAAAAAGAAAGCGAGGACGAGAGGTTGAGAGAAATAAAATATAAGTCAGAAGAATAATTAAAAAAAAATATTCATAAAAAAATAGTAAAAACATATAATAAGAAAAGAGTAACCGAAAAGAATCAAAGACTTGTAATATCTGGAGATAATAAAGGAAATTTAATAGGAGCAGATTTTTTAATGTTGAAATGGGATACGAAGGTTATTTGAAGGGATGATTGAAAAGAGAGGGTAGTAAACATAAAGGGCAAGAAATTTTGAAAAAGGAGAAGGGATGAAATATTTTTAAACTGAAATATAAACATTTAAGATAAGGAATAAATTTATAAAATTTAAGAAAACAAAATCAGAAGAATTTTCAAAATTATTACGAAACTGAGATAGAAATGAAAAACTTTGTAAATAGCGTATGCAGAAATAGAATGTGTTGTAGGATGTTGTCAGAATGAAATCGAAATTTTAGAGTACTTAGCAACAAATTGTATCGTAGAGATAAGGGCAAGTACAAGTATGAATCAACTTTGGGAGAGAAGAGCGAAGGAATCAACAAGATAAACAAAATTATATAAGGACAAGGAAGAGGAAGAGAGAAAGAGAGAGAATACCCCTTTTCCCCCAAAAATATACAAAAAGATAAATTTAGAGAGAAAATAAAATATGATTTTAAAGATAATACATAAGTAATTTAAATTCTAGTGCAATGCAATTAAGTTATCAAAGTTTTTAGATAAAGAATTAAATTAATATTGTTATGTCAAACTTATATATATATATATTTTTTTTTTAACATTCGCGTCATTATTGTATGTTTTATAAAGTTTGTTAAAATCGCTTATTAAAACTTTTCCCTTTCAAAGTCAATAAGAAAGTATATATTTACACTTTTTATACACTCTCCTTTTTTGCAATAATTACAAAATAATCATTTCAAAACGCTTTTCTGCTTGCAATCATCCCATTTCATGTCTTAAATATATTTATTCTTAAATTTAATTTTATTAATTACACAGCCAATTATACAGAAACGACTTCAAATTCATGACACTTGCGGGGTGCACAATTTGCATGGGATGCCAGGCGTGTTGGCTGGACTTTTCGGCGCACTTATGGCAGCTTTGGCCTCAGAAGAGTCTTATGATTACTCTCTGTATGAGGTATGTAACTCTGTTGTCACGAATTGATTATTTAATATTTATTGATTTTTTCAATTAATTTGTTTCAATCAATTTCTATTTATATAACCGCGTGGTTTATAGTAAAATTTAGCTAATATATTTCATCTAATAGCGAAATAATATAAGATCTTGAGTAAATATAATAAATAATTTTAAATAATTTTTAATATTAATTATATGTAAATAAATATTAATTATTATAATATAAATAATTAATTTTTAAATATAAATAATATATATATATATAAATATAAATAATTATAATAAAAATTAAGCGCTTCTTATCAAGTAATAAAATTATCGGTATTTGTCAATAGAAGACAAAGTAAGTATTATGCAAAGAAAAATATAATATGCATGATAAAGCGCATTTTATTTTTAGCATTATTTTTCTGACCCTGTTTCTTCTTGAAATATGTATTTGAGCATGCATAAATATGCATAAGAGTGCGGTTCGATGGAAAATTTTTGAAAGTTAACATTATTGTTTGTAAATGTAATAGAAAATATTTAGGATAAAAACATTTATATATTTTTATCTTAAATATTTTCTATTACATTTTATGATTACGATCTTTAATGATATTGATCAACACAGATCTTTCCCGCACGAGCACCAAGTTCGGCGGGAAAACTCGATGAAATGAGGGACATTTATGGGATATCAGCGGGATTTGATAGGACTGCGCATCAGCAAGCCGGATACCAATTACTGTCGTTAGTGGTCACCCTTGGAATCTCCGTCGTATCTGGATTAATAACTGGTATTTTCAATGGATTTCTATGTCATACATTGCGAAAAATTTGAAAGAAAAACCAATTTTTCATTTTGTTACAAATCTATAAGCTTTTGATTCTTGGCTGCAATTTATATATTGAATTATATTTTGAGATAATTAGTAATGTATATATAATTTAATCAGGTTTAATTCTACGTACAACAAAATGCGGTTGGGTCACCGATAAAGAGAAGTTTGACGATAAATATGTTTGGGAATTGGAAGAAGAATCTCAGGACGACTCGTCCGGGAAAATACGAAAAGATAACACTCGTGCCAACGATCAGATAGCAATGGGACATATTTAATAAATAGATATTTATGAAACTATTTAAACTTGCATGTAAGTATTATTAATAAATATAACGCTATATATTTTGATTTTATTTTAACTAATTATTTTAATGGCTTTCTTTTGATTCTATTTATATTTGTCAAAGTTTTATTGCAGATAAAAATTATAAGAAAATCTTGTTATTTTATGGAATGAATATATATATATATATATATATATATATATATATATATTTCTATTTTATCAAATATAAAAATTGTGCAAAATTAATAAGAAAATATAATAGATGTTTTTATCGATAGAATAAATTTTTCTCGTTTGTAAAATAGTTTTACACAAAAATATTGTTACAAAATGTTTCTTGATTAGATTGTATTTCATTTGTATTAAAATATTAAAACATGTTGAATAAAACAGTTAATAAAATAATTACATAACAATTTATGTAAATATTAGCAATTTAATGAGTAAATAAAAAATCTCAAACATATATCGCATATTGTATTATATATTATTGAGCATTGTATATATAAATATATACAGGGTGTCCGGTAACTAACGGACCAATGATCACAAATGGATTCTTTGGTCCATTAGGGAACGATTTTTCTTCAGCGAAAATGTCGAAAAAAGTCATCATTTTTTACAACTTTCCAATATTTGTCATTATGTATCTTTATAACTAAACCTCAAATTAAAATTTTATTACGGTAAACTCTACCTGAAATTAACTGAAGAATGTAATTATGTTAGACTTTTAACTCCAAAACGTTTAGTTTGCAAAAAACCCATTTTTTTCAATCGCGTATAACTCGAAAATTATTGACTTCTCAACATTTTTGCTAAGGAAAAATCGTCTCCAAATTGACCAGAGAATCCGCTCTTAATCATTGGTCCGTTAGTTACCGGACACCCTGTATATGTACATATATGTATGTCTTTTTTGAAATTGCAGGTCTGTAATTATAATTGTAATTCTTATTGATATTGGCAAAGAGGAGTTTCGAATTAACGAAATAAAATATTCCGAAAATAGTACAGTTTTTTGTTTTTCGATAATTTATTTTCATGATTATTGTTAAATTTTGCAAAAAACATATAATACATATTACACAGTTTGACGATGAATCCATAGGTGGAAGAAGATATAGTCAACTGTCTGTATCATAAAGTCATAAAAAAATCATTGTTTTTATATTGTAAGGTTTTCCTTCAATCTCCACTTTTTTCAAAATAATACACGAATAAACTAAAAATATTATTGCGCGCTTTCATTCGCCTTCTCATTCTAATGTAATCATGTACGATAAATATGAATAATGAAACAGTAGCATTGAAGGAGAACATCACTTTTTTTACAAGTATACAGCTGATTGAACGGACAAGATCACAATACATTATTATACGGACATTTGATTTGTATAAACCTAACTTAACTTATTATAATTACATTTAGGAGAAGCTTAATATTACTTATAAATTCTATAAATTATATAAATTAATTGGTACATACAATATATAATATATATGTAAAAATCTTAATATATCCTTTTCAATAAATTTCTTCAAAATGATGAAATGCATGCAAATATATGTATCAAAACACATGTACATTGAATAGAAAATGCAACTATATCGCTAAAAATTGACTTTCGAATATAAGTGCGTCTGATATAGCAGTGCGTACTGATAAATTGTATAAAAGTCAATAGACAAAAAACGCAAAAAGAGATTTATAGAACGAACTTTTAAAAAACTTGGCGAATTTTTTAATTTTATTAATATATATCTTATTATCTATCGTCTAATTAAAATTGCAATCAATTAATCAATTATCTCTTGATCTTGCAATCATCTCATCTTTCCTCAATATGTTAAAGAAGGAAAGCGAGAAAGAGAAGAAGGAGAGAAAGGAAGAGAATTCTATGAAAAGTCCTAACAATAAGATCTCGTTTTATTTCGATTTCTAATGATGATTGATATTCGTTCGTTCTCATATCAACTTTAACAATTATTTATTTATTTTATTTAGATAGTGCGATCAAGTGAACCATAGATTGTGTACGAGAGAGGCTTTTCTAAGAGCTAACACCAAATTTTTCTTTATCTTTGGTATTTATAAATTGAATGTCCTGTCTGTATATTCGGAATCTCCTCTTTTTAATTTCTTCTTTCCGATAAATCTTTTATTCATTATTTGTTTCTAATAAAATCACATCTGTAGAGTTTTATATAATATTAATGAATAATCCCAATGAAATTCCTCAAATATTTCCTAAAATCAATATCAGTTAGTGAAAGAAATAAAGGAAATTGAGATTAAAAATATCTCGTTTCAGCAAACTTCTCTGGCAATTTGAATTGCTTTACAAAGTATGGCTTTATTCTTAAGTTTGAATTAATATGGCGTACAAAAATGATATCCTGGAACACTTTAATTTGAACTTTAGAGAATTAATTGCAACTCCCTCAGATAGGTTTTCATAGTTGATCCTTTTATATTGCTCGCTTCTTAGCAATCGCCCGAGGCACGTAATTAAAAAGTGCGACATTTTTAAGAATTCTCATATTACTTATCATAGTAAGATTATCTCACTCTTAAATATTGTCGAAGTTCTCGTTAAAAATTTTTTTTCTTTATTTCAAATAATTTTGGTCTTGTGAATAATTAAAACTAAATTCTTTTTCTCTTTCTCTCTCTTTTCATCCTTTCCCTTTTCTCTCTCATATATATATTGTATGTATATGAGATTCTATTGCACTTTTAGTATGAATGATAAGATATAGAATTATGCAGAGAGGGAGCAATGGATGTCAACTATGAAAATTGACAGCTGCAATTAATGCTTAGCTCTGTTTTAATTTATATTCCTTTTTTTAATCGACAACAGGTATCGTGTCGCACTATAGTATCACACAAACAGCGAGAACATCGACGATAATCCGTTCTAAAAAATGTTTTTTAAATCACTTAAATTTATCAACGTGTCAACAACATATCTCAAGATCAAAATTATTGAATGGTTTCGATATTCAAAATATTTACCAAATGTTTTAGTAAAATTCTCTATAAAATTTATATATGCATATATACACATATATAAATGCAATTTTATTTCATTTCTATATAATATAAATACAATTATAATAAAACCATTATATGGTTTAATCATAATTGTATTTATAAAATTTTTCAAAAATAGAAAATACTATTATTGAATTATATATTATTAAAAAACATGCTGATGCATGGTGAATTAAAATTCTGGTTGCAAAAGAATGTATATAATTCGCATTTTTAACTCGTGATGACGTAGTATAATTAGAGAAAAAGTTATATATTTTTTAAAGTAATCTTTTTTAAAAATCAAGATATTTTAACATTTGACATCGTTTGACTTACTTGCATCTCCTGTGACACCGCTTTGCGACTCGATGTTTCATATACTATACAAATATTATCACGATATATCATGACAATGCATATACTATGACAAATAACACTTCAACATTATTAATCATTCTTTTTTTAATCATTGTTCCATAGAGTAAGCTATATGTTCCACGTTATCAGTATTATGTACTTCTTCCTAATCGATTATTTGTGAATTACGTCTGTTCGTTCGAAGAGAAAATTGCGCTTTTTACAGATTTTCAGCTTTGTTTTCTTTTTCTGTTCTGTTCAAAAATTAAAACTCAAATCTATTTATATAGTTTTGACACGAGAAGCGCAAAAAAATGCATTCTGAATAAACAAATTATGAAATGCAGATTTGATTGTTGAAAAGTCATTCGCTAAATATTGCAAAAATTGTGGTATAATTATTACTTTGTAAAAATAATGCTTGATATTAATGATTAAAAGATGCTTAAAGACTTGTTCAGTTTTATTGTATGCAAGAAATATATTGTGTAAAATAAACAGTATTTCTTGTACTAAGTGCAACATCAATTATATCTACATATATATGAAAGAATAAACGATACATAATAAACAAATTATGTAAAATTGAATCAGTTATTACGAAAAAGACATGAGTTATTACTATTGAAATCGAAGTGATAATATGTCATGTGATTTAGTTATCAATGCCTATTGCGTAAGATTTATTGAGCTATTAATTATCAGATAATAACTTTCTTTATAAACAGTTATTATCTCAAAAAGATGATTCTATGACTCATTGAAGATAAGAGAAAATGATCAGTCTCATAGAAATTTTGTGATAATAAAGTTAATAATTTTTTATTTATTCTATTATAAAATTTTTTAAACATCTTTTAAAAAAAATATTTAGCTAATATATAGTTTTCGTAACAATTAATTCAATTTTTTAATTTTTGTTCTTTTCAATTTTTACAGAAATTTTGTAGTAATATCAATTCTTGATGTAAAGGTTGCCGGGATTTTATGATCTTGCAAATGTGTAATCATAGCTACTTAGTCATCATTAATAATCATCGATCGTAATAAATTGTTATAAATATTATATATATAATGAACCAAAGTCTAAATAATATTGCAAAAATTATTTAATAAGACGACATGCGTAATATTTGAAGTTTATAATACTGTATAAAAAACTAATAAGAAAAAAATAAGTCATGAAATATTAATATCAAAATTTTAATATCCTTAAAACTTATCTGTAAAAAATTTTAAAAACTGGAAGAGAACTAATAGAAATATCTCACATTTTTTTGGAATAATCTTAAAATTAGAATAAAACTAGTAGCGAGAAAAATGAATATTATTTTCGACTTACAAATGAATAATTTAAAAATTAAATTTATTAATTAATAATTAATAATTAATAATTAATAATTTAAATTAAAAATCTACTATCCCTTATTAAAATCTGTTATAATCATATACGGATCTATTATCGCAATTTCTTTATATCTAAGTTTTTAACATCTATTGTAAATGCCAATTTTTAGTGTCATTTTTATATTCGATATTTGGAGCTGTTTTGGATGGGCACATCATCATATGAGATCAGTCAGACTATAATGATATTATGATCTAATTATAAGTGGCAGTGTATTACGCAAGCGTAGTAGTATGTTGAACGAGAAACAGGCAGTGTTGCACTTTACAG